CCATACAGATCATGCCGTATTTACCCAAGTTCTCCTCGATAATCTCGTTGTCGGTGAGAGGGAGTCGTTGCTTGTCAACCTTGCCATAGCCACGCTCTGTACATGAGTTAGTGTCCGACAACGACGTTGAGCTTGAGTCGAAACTTACTGTAGATGAGCTCACGAACCGACTTCTGGTTTGGGTAACCATAAGCAACAAACGGCTCAACAATCTTCAGCATCTCCATGGTCGCCTTGGTAAGCTTGATGAAAACACCATTGTTGATCTGAAGGAGCCGAAGGAGCTGCAGTGTCTTGCGTTTCTTGGGGTCAATCTTGTTGATACCCTTTATCCGAACGACGAAGGCGAGTTTTGGCTCAGCGGGGACGTAGAGGCTGTCGCTCTTCTTGGCTTCGCGCGCTATGCGCACCCGCTCACGCTCAGCATCGCGGTATTCCTTCACATACTTCTCAGCCCTTGTGAAGATGACCTCGCGCTTCTTCTTGTTCTTGTCTGTTTCATGTCAGCGCTGTTCACAACAGTATGGCATGCCATGACTTTCAAAGAGGGCGATCGCATCATTCCCGAAAGATGGTTAACAATTCGACAACATTGACCGTAGTCTAGCCGATAGTGTGGTTGTTATAATCATCGTGATCGCCCTCCCGAAATCTCCGAAAGCATGCGGGGTTGGCCGTACCTCGCTTTTCGCGTGTTGCGATCGCGCGCTCCTCGCGTGCCTTCTCTTGAGACTTCCTCTTCTTGAGGAGGTTCTCAGGCACGAGAGTGACTTCGCTCTGTGTAGGAACGGTTCTGTGAGGCGCGTGTTAGCTTTGAAATAGGTGTGCGGTGCAGAGACAACTTACGACTTCGACGACATGTTGAAGTGGTGTTCGAGAAATTCGTCGGAAGCTCAATTTTTGCCAGACCCTTAGCGCCTACGCTAGCCCTTTACCTACAAGCGTCAACGCTAAGAGGCTGTGGTCCCACATAAGCTGCACCCATCTGCGGCCGAGGTCTGGATAATCGTATTGATCTTATTACTGCAATTTCAAGTTCTTTCTGGCAACGAGCATGTCCCTCGCAGCTTGTTTATGTTTGGAAGTGACTGTATTATGATGCGGCCGTGGGAGCAGTAACGTGTCATTTGAGATGTCTCATACATGACAATATTTAGAGAAGAAGTTGGCATATCGAATAGCGATGCATGTGAATGCACCGGAACTGTCTCTATGTCGCAGATGACCTTTGTTAGGACATAAGGTCACTTTGTTTACTGGTGCCTTTGATATTTAATGTGACCCTTCTAATCACCTTGAACTTCGGAGGTCTATCAAAGGCGAGCAATGGCAACTCCGGACAACTGCATGTTCCAGAAGAGGTGTCCCTATTTAGCTTCTTTGATAGGCGGCTTCCCTAAGCTTCAGAGTAAGATCCGTTGTCTACAAGTAGCTTTCCTATGGCCGATCGCTTGAAGGGACAATGAAATTCTGCTGGCATGATACCTAGATAGGGAACCATTGAGCATATGGGATGATAAGCTGCGTGGTATGGCTGGTTCATCGCCAATATGGTCGTTCATAAGATTACGCTTATCTCTAAATAGTGTTTTTTTATCAGATTGGATACAGAAAGATGGATTTATTCATTGCATCATCCCCTGCAACTCACCTAGGCAAAAAACCGAAGACCACCAGTCTAGAGATAGTTGTACGACCCCAAAACGTCGCCAGAAGTACATTCTGTACTACGAGAAGCCTTTAGTGACTTTACCTGATCCTATTGTCCATGTCACGAGTAATCGCGAATTGGCCGCCATTAGTGGACGAGCAACATATCCAAGGTTGATTTAGTTGATCTAGAGGATGTTTTAGGAACTAACTTTATTTACCTCCGTGCCATATCCTGTGGCCTACGAGAAGAGATTTCCCGACGTCGTCTCCTTCTTTACAAATGCGGTTGTAAAATCTTTATCTTCATTGCCGTTGAAAGCTCCACCACTTTGTGAAGAAGTTCCTATTTTCACATTCTGCTATTGATAATGTCAATACCAAACAGCTCTGCGGACTGAAGCCAGGTCCTTGCCACAAGAAGTTCACCGAACAGTACCTTTCTTCCGTTACTAGTTCCTACGACACTACTACGTTTGCCTCAGGCCAATCCAATCTTTCTACCCCCTGACTTTCTGGTTCACGAGTGAAGCCCCACGAGTGAAGCCCCACAAGACGACATATCCCACCCGCGAGCCTGGTCTAGACCTCCTTGAACCCTCGGACCGTTCGTTTCAAGATGACAGAACTCGGCTTTGCGCCACACCAGATGCCATGCCGACTCGTTTCGTTTGACGATCCCCGGTACCCACATGTTTCGTACCATGCTTTACTCGCTTCCGCATTGTGCTAATGGTAGCTCGATGAGATTAACCGTAGCGTCACACATCTCATCGGACGTATCTCGCTATGTCGTGAGAAAAGGTCCGACTGAGTTTCTGGTGTTATAGTTGAGCTCATATAAGGAATACACTGATGCAGAATTTTCAGACCAGTCAAGTGAGACTGTAATGTGCAGCATGCTATGACGTTGCTTTTGATTGAAAAGCAGACTATTCGTACATTGGGAGGGATATCATTAACGCATGATCCTACTCGGATCTTGTTCTCGGAACGCCATGCTGAATGAAACGCCAATTCTAAGGCATGAACACGTCACCCCGTGATGTTGTTCATACTCGTGATGATGATAAGACAATGGAAGAATTCGTGTATGTGAAAGTCATGATGCGAGTGTGACGGGCAAACATGATGGCTCACCATGCTGTTGTATACTTCTTCGTAATCTGGGTCCATTCCCTCTAGGGTAGGAAATGCGAATAATGACCTGGGACCCTCTGCCTGCACTTCTCGCAATCTTCCCGATAACCCATGCTGAAACGACCCATACCCGTCAATGCACCGCTTCGTTTTCTACCACGAGGCGTTGACGGTGGAGCCAGTGTTGAGGAAGACTCGGCATCCATTTGATCGGCCGTACTGGCGTGCGAGAAACTAAGTCGCGATAGCTGGGACTGGGTAAGCGCGGTCGGCGTATCTGGAACGTCCTCGTCCTCTGAGATGGGCGAAGGCATACGTCTGCTCCGATCGTCATCTGCATGCTGTCCCGATCCCTTCCAGGCTGGTGGAGGTGCTTGCACTGAAGGTAGGTGCAGGTTGTTCATAGCCATGGCACCTGCTGAGCCACTCATGGGGTATCCCAATCCATTCATTCCTCCTCTCTTAAAGGTAGGATGTATGGGGGTAGGTATGCGACCATTGTTGTTGACAGTATCTGAGTTGAATAAAGACGGTTGGAGCATAGCCGGTCGCATAAAGTTGTTGCCAAACGAGCTGAAGGCGGGCGACTCTGGTGGTTGACTGCGAACGTCCATTTCATCGTCGTCCAAGTCCATATCCATGTCTGTGCCACTTGACTCTCTTGATATACGAACGGGACCACCGTATATCGAGTCCGGCGAGTAGGCTCCTCCGTGTTCTGATTGTGCTGGCGTCATTGACCGGATGTCCGTGAACAATCTTGGTGGAGACGGCGTGTGTGCGCCCCGGTGGGGTAGGTTCGAGAGTAGTTGGGGATGAAGTTGGTCATGGCTAACCAGCTCGTGGCTTCCGGGTCGATACTTCTATCCTACAATTAGCCTACCCCAGGAAGAAGGTATCGCTGACGTACCTTGGGGTATCTGTCCTCATCAAAATCCGAGTCTGAATCGTCGTCCCGGTCTCGCTTCCTGGCCATGATCTGAAACATGGACATGGTGATCTTGGGAAATGAGTGATCCTTATGTAGCCGCGTTCAACGCGATGACGGAGTTCAGACGATATGGTTCTTTTGATGAATAGAACGCTCGAGAGGAGCGTAGCTGGAGAAGCGCGACTGTGGTCGGAGGTTCCTGGTAGATATGTTTGGAAGCAAGCGGGCGAGGGGTCGATATGACTATCAGGGGCGCTGTTTCAGGTCGCATGAAAAGAACCCTGGCTTGTGTAGTGGAGTCGCGCGCCTCTAATGGCAGAGCGACTGTGTGGGGAAACCTTTTACTTGGTTGTCGGAAGTTGGTAACCCGTCGCTTGCATGCGGAGCCTCTAAGTGGTAGTAGCGATGATGTCGACGATGGTGTGGCTTAGCGTGGCGGAGTGGTGAAGTGGCATCTGAGGCCAAACCTTGGAATCGCCGAATCTTGGAAGCCAGGCACGGCATCACGTGGGCTACGTATAGCATGTTCAAAGAGAAGTGAAGCGTCTTTCTACGTGCAATGGCAGCGGTCGCAGGAGGCGTGTTTGCGTGTACCCATGTCGCAAGCTGAATACAGGCCCCCCAGAGAAGAGTAAGGGAAGGGATGATATTGGTGGTCACTGGGAGGGACGAGGGATGATTTGAGCTGCAGCTTGGGTCAATGAGTGCCGCCAACGCGGTGCTCGAGTCTTCCAACACAAAAGGGTCATCTTCACGCCGTCGTCAGATTCCAACAAAGCAACATGCATCGACCAACAGGAACGTGGCTATTCCAGCACGGTAACAAGCTTGGCGCATCTGCAGGTGCAAAGCTCCGGCGGCGGTGTATCGATAACTGGCGGGACCCAGAACGAACCATCAGCCCCACCTTACCCTAAAGTTTCGCAGCCACTCCCAAATAATTTGATAGCATATGACTGTATTTGCTACGCGCTCGCTGTGTCCCTTACCTACAGTCTTCGCCGACCTCGGACCTGCGCCTGCATACATTGTCTGCACACTCGCCAGGACAAACAATTGCACATCTGGTTCGCCTGATTTCTCGAGTCAAGTCACACAACACGCCCTGCACCACTTGGCACCTGTATATTCACCTTCGTCTGTGTCACAGTCGGAGTAATACTGACCGCAAGTCGACCATCGCTTACGCACCCTGTACGTCGGAGCAACAAGACTCTTCCTGTTTCAGCTCAGAGGGCGCACGCTAATATATATATACATATAAAGAGAGACTACCGTCATGGCTCCTGCTGCTACAGAAACACCCGACATGTCTTCCTTCAATGACTCTACCAACCCAAGCGACGACGTGCGCGGTACATCTCCACCAGCACTTGCTTCTCGATGCCAGTACTAACACCACTGTCTAGTCCTTGGTTACGACCCACTGATCCCGCCCCAACTTCTTGCGTCCGAGATCCCCATTCCAGCACACGCCGAGAAGACCGTTATCCAGGGTCGCAAAGAAGCCGCCAGCATCATCACACAAAAGGATGACCGACTCCTGGTCATGGTAGGGCCTTGCTCGCTACACGACCCAGAGCTGGCACTCGAGTACTGCCAGCGCCTCAAGGCTCTGGCCGACAAGCTTCAAGACAACCTCTGCATCATCATGCGCGCCTACCTTGAGAAACCACGAACAACCGTCGGCTGGAAAGGATTGATCAACGACCCAGACATTGACGAGAGCTACAAGATCAACAAGGGTCTGAGAGTGTCGCGCAAGCTGTTCGTGGATCTCACATCCGCAGGCATGCCCATTGCGTCTGAGATGCTCGATACCATCTCCCCCCAGTTCCTCGCAGACCTCATCTCCCTTGGTGCCATTGGTGCACGGACAACTGAGTCGCAATTGCACCGTGAGCTGGCCTCTGGCCTCTCGTTCCCCATTGGTTTCAAGAATGGTACTGATGGAGGCCTGACCGTTGCGGTGGATGCAATTGGTGCAGCCGCTGCTAAGCATCACTTCATGGGTGTAACGAAGCAGGGTCTCGCTGCTATCACCAGGACGGCAGGTAACGAGCACTGCTTCGTCATTCTCCGTGGTGGAACCAAGGGTACCAATTTCGACAAGGACAGCATCAAAGCCGCGAGAGAAGCTTTAAAGAAAAAGGGTCTTGCTGAGGTCATGATGGTCGATTGCTCACACGGTATGCTCTATAGTCCAACGACCGCAGAGGGATAGACGCTAAGTTTCGACAGGTAACTCTAACAAGAACCACCGCAACCAGCCCATCGTAGCCAAGGACATTGCTGACCAAATCCGCAACGGCGAGACCGGCATCGTCGGTGTCATGATTGAGTCCAACATAAACGAAGGCAACCAGAAGGTCCCGCCTGAGGGCCCCAGCGGCCTGAAGAAGGGTGTCTCCATCACCGATGCTTGCATTGATTGGGAGAGCACCGTCGACACTCTTGAGAACCTTGCGTCTGCTGTCGCTGAGAGGCGAGCGAACAAGGTCAAGTCTAACGGTGTACACTAAACATCTGTATTGAGATGAGCATTGATCAGGACTGTGTATATAGTATGAGGGTATCTGGCGTTGGGAAAAGTTCAGACAGAAAGGGATACGGGTGCGACGATAGGGACTGGTTTACGATCAATTCATGAAATGTATGATGGAACCAAACAAGTTCTTCCGCATGTACAAGGTTGTGATGGAGTCTAACGCCGGAGAACTCATGGGTATCTTGGTATTAGTGCTATAATCTCTCAGCCCACACCTTCACTCATCTTCCTCTTCGTCCTCGTCCTCGTCCTCCTCGTCTCTGTTCTGCATGCTGCGCCGATTGCCGCCTGTGCTCGCTCTCCCTTCCGTCCCAGCCGCTCGCTCTCCCACAAACACATCTCCCGAACATTCTGTCTTGCATCGAGGGCACACTCTGCTGCCTCTTCTGCTCCTATAGTAACTGTTGGCGCACGCATCGTGCCACCTGACACCACATTCTCGATTGTTGCAACGGATGCCAATTGTGACAATCTCCCTGCATCCCTCACAGTCCCTGATCCTGATGACTTCGCGCCCATCTTCGTTTTCCTCAGCAGACTCATTATACGTCTCCTTGAGGTAAGCACGCAATTCCATCAGTGCGCGTGGGGCAAGAGAATAGTAACCTTTTCTCGACTTTTGAAAAAAGGCTTCCTTGACAAGGGTTTCCAGGACGAGATCAGCTTCCGCAATGGAAATGCCTGTGTCGGTATTGGCTTGTGAATCTTCCACATCGCCATTGATCTGACTTTGTCTGCTGGTTGCCTGACTTTGCCTATTCCTGCGTGAAAGACGGGCGAGCTGCGAGGCTTCGGTGTGTTTTATGGCCATGACTTCGCGAATGTTGGTGTTGTTCGTTTCGAACATGTGGTCAATGACGCGTCTTATGTAGGCGATTTCGTTTGCGGAGAAAGTAGTAGCGAGTTGAGTGACGGCATCGCTGGCGTTGTTGACGAGGGCATAGATGCTATCTTTGCTCTGCTGATCGCGAGTTGATCGGATCTCGTAGTCGAATGCTTCGATTTTGGCATTTATGGTCTGGATGGTAGAGGTGATGTAGGGTTGGGTCACGTCGCCTTCTGTCCATGGGCGTTCGGGGTCTATTGCAGCTGTCAGAGTATGAAATCAACAGAGGACTCGAAAACTGACTGTATGCAGTCATCACATGAGCTAGGATAGCCTTCATTTGATCCACTGTGAGGACGCTGTGCGTTTGGAAGGCTTGTAGGAACGCGCGGTGGATCGAGCTGTAGTCCTCGCTTTCGGCAGGAGCGCGTACAAAGGGCGACTCTTCACGGGACATGTTGGCGCGAGATTGACTGTGAGTGGCTCGAGAGGAGGAGAACTTTGACAGTGCGGCACAAGTACTGTAGAGTGTGGAGAAGGTGTACTTACGCGATCGCGGGGAAATTCCGGAAACGCGAGAACGCGAAAGCACGTGTTCCTCATTCTAACCACATTGCCTCACCCGTCGTGGCTGTACGATGACGCTGCAAAACCAGTACGACCGGGTATTAAATTGAGAGCATTTCGGCATGTTTGGAGAGCCCAAAGACTCACATGACGAATATCTGCATCGATTGAGAGGACTAGACACAAGCAGTGACCTTTCTCTAAGTTTGTACCTGAGTATCTGGAGTACCCAGGGACGTGTGAACAGCGCCACTAAACTTCAAAGTAGGAATACGATTCTACAGTTTACGTTGAGGTTGTAATGCTTCTTTTTGACTGGAATGGATAGCAATCCAAAGCAACATCTGTTAGCCGTGAATACGAATGCTAATCCTTATTTTTATCCTGCTTGTCACGACCAACCCAGCGTTAAGCAATGCCTTTCCGTTCTTCGTGCGTCTGTGTATCATACAAGGTCCTAAAGTCTCCACCCATACTTCGTCATATCGTAACATCGATGCTGTCCTCGTCGTCTCAAACAGGTAGATCGGCATTCCGTCTCGCACCACTTATCGCCTCCAGTGCCCTAGCAATATACGGTCCAATCACCGGTACGTTACTGACGAAACCCGCGATTGTCATCAGGAAATCCCCAAACAGAACGAGTATACCGTATAGCTCAATTATGAAGCCGATGAAAGCCCATCGCATCAGAATAAGCGATATACCAGCGACAAAAGCCACCGTGCCTTTCCATTTCTGCTTGCGAGCAAAGAACGCGACGGTTTTGGTTGTTCCGATGATGAGTGTGAGGCCAATTAGGAATAGTATCTATTAAGGGGGTATCAGAGCTGGTTCGATGGTAGAGGTAGAGGTTTGGAGGTGTGGTATGAACATACGTTTCCCATTGCGAGCCTATGACCATGTCAGCAAAGCATGTATGTATATGTGAAGAGATGAGACATACATTGCGCGGTCAAAAAACATCATGACACCTCCCATCAGAAAGAGTCCGCCTGTTCGTCTTGTCAATCCGATGTTGAACAGTGAGCGCATTCGTGGTAGTGGGCGCGTACCTACCCCCTGAGCAGAAAGCGACCCCTATCTCTGTTCCTGTTGTCAGCAGATGTTCTATGCAGTAACCGCGAAGCTGCATGTTGGCGCAACATACTCTGGGTATCTGAAAGCCACATGGTCGGCATCTTGGAAATTCGGAATGTGTACAGCGCGCAACGTGCGAGGTTGTGTAGTTGAGGAGACTTGAGACGTGGAGATAGTGAGCAAGTAGTAGATTGACACCTGGTTCCACTGTACGTCTGGCACAAAGGCGGTATCCGTCGGTTTCTTGTCTCGTGTCCCCTTGGTGAGAGTTGAGACGCGGCGCGCGCAGTCGGTAGTCGGCCCAAAGTTTACCCCTGCTAGCGCTGGAGTTCCCGCGGGTTGTCGCATAAAATTCTGGCATCATGCTTCTCAGTCTCTACAACCCTCGTCCATCCAAAGTGAGAACAGGTAGTCAACATTCAAACACTCAGCAACAAAGAGCAATTGATGCGTTGTTTCTTTTCTACAGCTACAAGATACTTGAATGACTATTACAATGTAGATCCCGCCTTGACAACAGCATGTTTCAAGCTGCTGTAACTAGGAATCCTCCCTCGAGGTCCTGGTATACTGTCTTATGGGCGCAGAAGAATACTGGATCACGGTTAAGCCGGAACACCTCCTTGAGCCATAAGCCGAAAGGCATGTGGTGGGTGGAGAGTAGTTTGACTTTGATGATCATACATAACCTCAATTACACCTGGGTTTCTGACCAGGCTTGTACCCATCTCATTAGCCTGTTTGATGCAAGACCCTGGACAAGTGAATGAACTGGAGCCTCTGTCGAATGCAGCGTTGCGCCGACTGTGAAGGACGCATGTCATACTATCAGCCTTGAAGTAGGAGCTACCTCGGCATCGAGGCAACGCTCACTTCAAGATTGTGTGTGCACCTCTTGCGGCGAGATAGCCCTCTGACACGTTCTGTGGCATGGTACGGATGCCTCCAAACACCTCCTTGTTGTGGTACCTTAGACGCGTCTTGGGATCGGTGTATGGTGCAGGAAGACCGGTGACATCACAGTACTTCTTCTGACTGCTCGGGTGAAAGCTCGGAGCCGACTCGATGTTGGTGTATGTAGGTGCCGGCCCAGCAGCAGCTCTGCCGTTCTTCTCCAATACCAGGGTGCTCAGACTCTGGGCTGCTTGGGCGATGTTCGGTGCGCGGCCGGAAGCAGCATTGCCTTCAGCAGCTACGGCAGGTGTCGAGTTACCGCTGTTGTTCTGTGTGGCCATGACTGAGGCTTCTTTGCGTGACGCCTCGCCGAGAATCTGCTTGAGGTTCTTGTTGCGTCGCTGCGGTGGCTTCCAGTTTGGGTTGCGGAAAGGCTTGGGTACTGCGTAGATGTCAAGCTTATCAAGAAGTGCCTGATGCGTTTTCTCATCCGAGGCGGCTGTTAATGGTGCCATGCTTGGAGATGCCGGGATCTCAAGAAATCGCAGTCGATGGGCTTGGGTGTCTTGGCTGCGATTCTGTCTTGTCTTGTCGCGTTGTCGGCCTGTTGTTATTCCACGTTGATCGCGTGCGAGGCCGGTTTTGGTGGGCTGGTCTGATAAGTCGCGATGCTGGTGCGTGAGCTGTGACGGGAATCAATGTGAGCGTGGCAGAGCGTTGGTGTTGTATCGCGATGGAGCTTGCGGAGGTGGAGCTCTCCCGCCCGACCTCTGGACCTGCATACCCACACTAACTGCTTTCATCCTCCCCACCAGACAACTTGAACGCGTACAACCAACGCCAATATCACAGAGGTACAACAATGGTGAGATGTCACGAAGCAGCCCCCTGAGCGGCGCGAGAATCTGATCACGTCTCCAGGAAAGTCCACACGAGCACCAACAGAGCCAACTGCTCTCTCGCATTATCGTGAATGTTGTCAGTCAAGCCAAACGTTTCCAGGTCCAGTCAAGACAAGCATGCTGACTATTCCAAAGGAGAAGTTGAACGAGGCCATCATGATGCTAAACAAAAATCTCCAAGAGATCAACATCCAGAACATGGACACGGAGCTCGTAGCTCAGATGTTCAAGAACTACCAGTCCAACGTTCTTTTTCACCTGGAAGGTATACGGTCCTGTTGAGAATGCTGTATGACATAGCTGACAGGCCAAAGCAACAAATGGTCTGAAGGATCCTGCGTAAGCATACGACGTAGAGTATTCTTGGTGTGCAATTTGCATTTCCCGCGGCACAGCCAAAGCTCGCATACGGCCGGAATCATGGAGACAAGGAGCAAAATGGAGCGGGTAGATAGCTAATAATGAGATATGACCATGTCCAAATTTGGTGCACGACAGCAATGAGCATGGTCGTCATGTGAAATAGCGTAACATGGCCCTGGACGGAGACGGGCTCGGACCACCGAGCATCGCAAGAGCCTCACCACATGGCAACGGCAATGCCGCGCATCCTCAGTACCAGTCGCGCTAAACAAGCTCACACGCTACATCTCCCGTCCGCGATATGAAATAACAACCTGATCCTCGGCCAATCTCCATCTCCAACTTGACCGCCATGGCCCCCTCAGCTATCGACGAGGCGCCCCAACTCGCAGGGCGCAATCCACCCAAACCTCCACCCAAGCTCTGGAGCGTGTCAGAACCGCCTTTTGAAGGCTTCAGGCCCATCGACAAAGAAGGATGGTCGCGTAGCAACGGCGAAACTGCCATCGTAATCGACAATGGTACGCTCGCAATGCACATGCGCCTGTGTTTCTACCCAGACTAACATAGTGTAGGCTCGTCCGCAGTTCGCGCTGGGTGGTCTTTTGACTCCAAACCCCGGTTGTCAGTATTGCCCAACATGGCGAGGTACCGCGACCGCAAGCTCAACCGAACCTTTACCTTTGTTGGCTCAGACGTCTACGCCGACGGCACGGCGCGAGGACAGTCCAAGCCTGTCTATGAGCCTGGCAGCAACGTCGTGAACAATTGGGACGTCATGGAGGGCGTGCTTGACTACTGCTTTGTCAAAATGGGTGTGGATGGACGCTCCGGGCGCATAGATAGACCCATTGTCATGACGGAGCCCGTTGCGAACCTGGGCTATTCACGAAAGAGTACGTGAGCCAATGACAGATGATACTGTACCTACAGCTAACGTCAACTCTACAGCCATGTCGGAAATCCTCTTCGAGTGCTACGGCGCACCATCCGTCGCATACGGTATCGACTCGCTCTTCTCCTACTCATACAATGGCGGACGCAACGGCCTGGTCATGGACTCTTCCTACACCTCTACCCACATTATCCCCGTAGTAAACTCCAAGCCCTTGTTGTCGCAAACCACGCGTCTGAACTGGGGTCGCTTCCAGTCCGCGCAATACCTGCTCAAGCTACTGAGGCTGAAGTACCCTACATTCCCCGGAAAGATTAGCGACAACCAGGCTGAAGACCTCGTTCGAGAGCATTGCTATGTATCACAAGACTACGAGAATGACCTCAGCCGCTACCTGGATTGGACGGGCCTGGAAGACCGAGACCATACAATTCAGTTCCCTTATACTGAGCAGATCGTAGTGCAAAAGACCGAGGAAGAGCTGGCAGCTGCAGCGGAAAAGCGCAAGGAGAGCGGTCGTAGGCTGCAGGCCCAGGCGGCAAAGATGCGTCTGGAGAAGCTGAAGAAGAAAGAAGAAGAGCTCGAGTGGTGCTTGCAGTTGCAGACGCAACTGGAAGAGATTACCACGAAAAAGGAAAAGGCACGGGTACTGGAGTCAAATGACTTCGATGACGAGAACCAGCTCAACAAACGAGTCAAGGAACTGGAAGCTGCCATCAAGAAGGCTCGTAACAAGGACCTTGGCGATGTAGAGGAGGAGCAGGTCGAAGCACCTACATTCCCCCTGTTGGAGGTTCCGGATGATCAGCTTGACGAGGAGGGTATTAAGCAAAAGCGACAGCAACGATTGATGAAGTCAAACTACGATGCACGCCAACGTGCGAAGATTGAAAAGGAGAAGGAGAAGGCACGGCAAGCAGAAGAGCAACGACTTGACGACCAACGGCGGGAAACCGATCCTCAAGGCTGGATAGAAGAGCGCCGGATAGCTCGCCAAGCCATTATCCAGAAGATGAAGGACCGTGAGCGTCTCAAGGCTGAACTTGGAAACCGCAAGTCGCTCGCCAACCAAATGCGAATGAAGTCCATCGCCAACCTTGCCTCGGACGCACCCACTAAGAAGCGGCGACGAGGTGGTGGCGATGATGACACCTTTGGCGCCGACGATGCAGACTGGGGCGTCTACCGCACCATTGCTACAGGTGAAGGTTCCGACGACGAAGAAGAAGAAGATCTCTCCAAGAATCTTAAGGAAATCGAGTCCCAGCTTCTCCAACACGACCCCGACTTCACCGAAGAATCAACCCGCGAAGCACAAACAGACTGGACAAAATCCATCCTCCATTCCTTCCTCCACGGTCCTTACCCTTACGACGCCGAGTCCCAAAGGGAAACGAACCAAATCCACCTCAACGTTGAACGCATCCGCGTTCCCGAAGTCGTCTTCCAACCGACAATCGCAGGTCTCGACCAAGCTGGCATCGTAGAAATTGCCTCGAATATTCTCACAGAGCGCCTAGCAGATTCGCCCCACCGCGACGACGTGTTGAAGGACATTTTCCTCACAGGTGGCAACACCATGTTCCAGGGCTTCGAGGAACGCCTACGCTCTGAACTCCGCGCCGTGCTCCCTGCTGAACAAACCATCAACGTAAGAAAAGCTGGGGACTGTGTACTTGATGCCTGGCGTGGCGCGGCCCAATGGGCGGGCAAGAAGGAGTCGAGGCAACATTTTATCACTAGGCAGGAATTTCTGGAAAAGGGTGCCGAGTACATCAAGGAGCATGATCAGGGGAATGCTGCTTATTAGCTTATTCTATCTTGCTTGTAAGTCAATAGTGGGAGTAGTATGTTCAGTCTACCTGGGTATTGGTGCTTGTAGTATTACAGAAATATGGTGTTATTGCTTTATTTTTGCCAGTCTTTAGATAATATCTTCATGGAGAGAAAATGGCTTCTTTTACAATCGTTACGTTCCTAGTGATGTGATTGTGATAACATCATGGCGCAGACCGACATGCAACAGAGAGTATATGTAGGAGGATGCAATTCTCAAATTATCTAAGCAAAACCAAAGAACACTATGCTAAAGCCCCTTGTACGCCGAAACCACCATGACACCTATCCCAATGCATACCCAATGTATGTATATGCTCTAAGCCAAACAATGCTGCGTGCATGCAGAACGCCTCCCAATGAGTCCCAGTCCTACACCGATGATGATGCATGCGCCGCCGTTTACCCCGTTTACCTTGATCGTTAACAAATTCGTGTTTCTCATTTCCATATTATGATTACGGGCACAAAGATGTTTCCATCAGCAGAAGACATCGTTTGAGTCACCGCGCTCTACGCAGACTTGGGGTGCTGCTCAACGAGCCATTCCATCACACTTTCGTAGCATAGTACAAACTGTCGCAGACTCTGTACCATGCTCAACCGCTGCAGCCTGAAGTCCTCCACGGTCTTTGCAATAAGATCGGTCTCCTCGTTGTTCACCCAACTGTCCTCTTCACGCTCGTTCTTGGCTAGTTTGTCGTCGGTGTCCATTGGAGTCGATTGCCTGGCATTGCGAGCTTGCCTTTGCCGCTTGAGCATATCCAAGACGGAGTCCACCGTGCAAAAAGTACCAGTACGGCCACATCCGGCGGAGCAATGGACTATAATCGGGCGGCTGTTGGGTGGGTCAGGCTGTGAGGGCGAGCCACCGTTGACCGAGCGGACAACAGCATCAGTCTGCTCAATCAGGCCCAATAGATGCGTAGGATGGGCTGGGGCTCCAAAATCAGGCCAATGTGAGTACTGCAACTGTGTAATTTCGCGCATACGCGCGAAGGGTTCATCATCGTTCGAAAGAGTGAACTTGCGCACGATGACATAAGGCTGCTCCTGGTTAGAAGAGCCAGTAGTAGCTTCCTTGGTGAAGTTGGCGAGCTTCGGTGGGTTCGTTGACCTGCGCTGACCCACTGATGGCCTCGATTGTTCCCTGTGACGGTGAATCTTCGACGGCTCCAAAGACGCCCTGCGTTCGCCAAGTGGGTTGAGGTGTAGATGGCCATATCGCTTATCGGACCAGTAATTGTGCGCCTTGACCTGTCCACCTTCTTGCTCGGCAGTTAACATGACAATGACGCGAACGTCTTGCTGCCAAACAACGTTCCAGAAGTCCTGTTAAAGTGTTAGCGGATGACGTGGTATACATAGGTAAGAACATACTTTGAAGGTAGCCGGTATAGGTCCCTGCGTTGCGATGTAACGCTTGTTGGAGTAGGCGGCTTGGACGTGGTTGGCGTTGACGTAATCGCAGCTTCCTTCAGCAACTCCTTCGAGCTTGACACGAGTGTGTTCGTATGGCCAGATATTGTTGTAGCGATTCTTTGAACCTTTCTCAATACCTGCAATCTGTATATGCTGTCCATTGCCTCCTGATGACGACGGGGCGTCGTAGACAACTTCACCAGACAAAGCCTTTTGCATACGCTTTTGTTCACGTTTCTCGATTTGCAAGAATCGTTCTGCGACTGTCTTACCCTTGTCTTGCTCTTCAGATGCAGCCTGAAGCCACTGTGGAAGATCGTCTTCCACTGACTGGGTCATGCCTGCTGGCTGTTTGACAGGCATCTGCCCGACTCCACCGATGAGGTCCATGTTTTGACGGATGTTGCCAAAGAAAGGGTTAGCAGCGTTCTGGGTTGCAGGCATGGGACAGCCACCAATAACAGGCGCCACAGCAGGGAGATCGGAGTTGAGGTTCAGAGCAGCAGTGCCGGAGGTCGGGCTTCCAGAGCTTTGGTGTGTGATCCAGGCTGGGAACTTTTCAGCAAATTCTTGGAATCCACCACGGATGATAAAAGTGCCACCTGACCAACCCTCGCTGGTGAACTTTTTGAGGGTGTTGACACAGGTTGTGGCGTCCTTCATTTGCGACGAGTTGGCGTCATATACTATGATGTGTTTGCTGCTCCTCCATCGCTCAAACTTGTCCCTTTGTTCGTCATCTTTGAAGGTCTCAGCGAGCTTCTGGACATTGAAGGAAGCGCGCTTGAGCAGCGTCGTAGGAATACAGAGGCTCAGTGCGCCTGTTATGCGAGCCTTGGCATATTGTGTCGACACACGGAGATCCAGCACAAGGACCTCGTCAATGGAAGACTCGAGGATGTTGATGATATGTTGAGCAGTGACCATGGTGGGACCGGTAGCGGTGCCTTCTTCCTCAAAATGCGCGGGAAGCGTCTCAGCCCGGTGAGTGGATATTGAAATGTGCTGGGGATGCGTCTTCTTTGAAGGTAACGATGGCCGTGGGATACGGGGTTCGGCGAACTGAGCGACGGCATCTGAACGACCGGGTCCATCAAAGCTTGCTGGGGAATTCCTTCGTGGTCGGTCGGGAAACATGGAGGATTCGGTCGACAGCATGCGCTTCGGGGAACGTGGCTTGGGGGCGAACTCTTGCTCGTCGCTAGTATCGCTCTTGTCGCCTGGCCGGTCGGGCGGTGGCATCGACTGCGACTGTGAGTACGAGGGCTGTGCGGAGTCGATGTTGGCGAAGAAGGGGCTCTTGGATTGTGCCTTCAGGCCGGGCGATGCAAAGTCGAAGCTGCCCAGGGCAAAAGCTCTGTTGTTCTCCGACTGTTTCCTAAATTGCTCAAACTCTGGGTTCTGCTCAACAGGTATTATCCGTGGGGAGGCGGCAGCTGTCGAGCGCACGTTTGAAGTGGGTGGGCTCCAGTTTCCGCGAATGTGCTGGGCAGCACTAGAGGAGAAGTGGTCGGCATTGCTGTTGACGGCAAGACCAAAGTAGTTAGGTGAGGGGGTCGAGGGTTCCTTCGTCTTCTGTGAGGCTACATGGCTCGGTGTTTTGGCTACCCCGTTCATGCGGGGCGTGAGGGGGGGTAGCGCAGACGTCGGATGTAGTGAGGCACTTGGCCTCGTCATTGGCGTCGATCCTGAACCTCGTGGGCGAGAAGATGTGTGGGAAGAACCTCTGGGCCTAGGCGATAGGGCAGGCGTGGACATGGTGTGAGGCCTTCACACGCGTCAGCTGGTTGAAGCGTGAATGTGGCTGGTGGGCGGGCAGATTAAGTCGTGATAGGAGCTAGGTGCATGAATATGGGGATTTGATGGCTGCGGGAGGACGTGTGTGCAAGTAATGCAGGAGTGGTTGGTACGGTGTGAAGGGTCTTGGTTTGGTGGGGATTGCCGCTGCGCTGAACAATGACGTAGGTGTGTAATGAGGCAATCTCCCTGTGTTGCCGGGCGCACGAGCGATGATGTGCAGGCACAGCCCTGGGTACAGCCGACGAACGCAGAAAACAGCCGAGTGTATTCGCAGCAAGAAGCGATGCCACACAGTGCGGCTGTGGTACCAGAGCTCAGTGGCGCGGGCGAACCGTAGGGGTGATGTCGTCAGGGCAGGAAAAGCTGGCTAGATGCCGCAGCTGCAGGGTCTCTGAGAACCAGCAAAGGGGAGGGGGTGCCTGAAAGCAAACGGTCCCGTGACTAGGTCGGTAGGGCTGAGGCTGTGGGCGGAAACGGCAAATAAGCGCAGCGGAGAGGCGACGAGGACGGGGCGGAGAGCGGAAAGATCGAGTAGACAGAAGCTGGATGTATCGGCGATCGAGCAACTTAAGAGGAATCGACGAAAAAGCCAGTTCCAAGGCACGGCTGCGAAGACTAGCTGGCTCGCTCTGGGCCCGACAATCGCATGCTAAAACCGCCTTGTCAGCTGTATGGGCTATCGTCGAGCCGCCCCTGTCCATTGCGACATTTGCTATTTAGCGTCACCCGCCAGGTCAACGGCTGCGAGGTTGCCGCCACGACTGTCCAACTCGCACCATGACGGCCGCGACCTCACGTCTACAGCGCACATGATGGCCCTCAAGACACCGAGATACTGCCTCAACCGCAGAAAAACCTGCTGCGTGCATCCGCGCGCGCCGGCTGCAAGCATGCAATCCTGAAACCTCGCGACGCGCCCCACCGCAAGACGCTCGGGGACCCTTACATTGATCGGCACCCGAGACCGTGCAGAGCAGAAGGCTGCGTCTGGGAAACACACCGTCGCTCTCTGGCCAAAAGGGTAGGTGGGGATGCTAGATGCTACGGCCGACGCGACTCGTCTGCTTCACGTCTTCTAATCTTCTAGAGTGGTTGATCTTCAGACTTCTACCACCAAGTCAGACCGCCATTTTGTCACGCCAACGACATCAGCCGCCAACACAAGCAGAGCAAGCATCTTCCTCTCGCCTTATCCCTGTTGCACATGTTGTTCGGGCTGCAGATCCCATAGTTCATACGGACACATGGTTCGATCACTATCAAGTACTGCCCAACTCGTACGGTACCGTGTCTGACTTTGCAACAACACGTCCTTTTCACACAGGAACAGGGAACACATCATGCGTAGCGGTGTGGGTTGATTGTACACACACACGCACACACACACACACGCGCACACAAAATGGCGTGGTTCTCTATGACGCAATGGAGTTCGTACAAGATGCCGAAGCCCGGCCCTTGGCTATGACTTTGAGCGATATTTGAACTTCGGCACAAATAGCCACCAATGTCTCACAACAAGAATTTCTCGATCGTGTCAAACAAAAGCTTGTGCACACAGACTACACAGGCTTCGAGACTAGGCGGTCCGCAGTCATTCCGAAAGGAACGGTAACGAACATGCATTCCCGCTATCTCCGCATCTCCATTACAAAGCCAGCCAAAAATAGACAATCTATGATGTAGTGTTTATTTGTTTGCCTAGTGATATTGTTGTAGAGACATCGCGATGCGTGTAAATGCCACATGCCAAAAGCCGTATGTACGCCTGGATATAATACCTGCCTTTGCGCCTAAAATCAACAAAAAAGAGCACTCTGAATTACCTAGTTTTCTCCGAAGTCATGTCTACATCTCCATCCGTTCAGTCACTGGCGGGTTGGAACTCGTCTTCCCGTGCTTCTTTGACTTGTCATAGCATATAAGACCAAAGAAGCCTTCAGAAGTGCACGACGTGCTTGCGGAGGTAGCTGTCGGGGTTGGTTTGGGTGTATGATGTGTCTTCGCAGGCGGATCATCGCCGTCAAGGCATCCACCAAACCAGCCTGGATACTTGCACGACGAAGTAGATGTGGGCGTCGACGACGTGGTTGTCACAGTAGGTGCTGGGGCGGGCGTGGTAGTGATTGTCATGGTCGTAGTAGAAGTCGTCTCGTCTTTGCAGCCGAACCAACCGGGCGTCTTACATATGGAGGTTGATGATGTCGTCGTAATTGTGGTCTTGCTGTGTGCTTTGGTTGTAGATTCGTCGAGACATCCCCACCATCCTGGCGTTTTGCATGTTTCAGTTCGCGTGCGACTAGACCTAGTTGACGTCAATGTGGCTGTTGGCTTTGAGCTCTTGCTGGTAGTCGTCTCGGTGCCGTTGCTCTCAAAATACTCCCAGGTGTAGCAATCAGTACAGTCGACGTAGGCTTCGCACTTGGGCGGTGCATCATACTTGAGTATAACGTCTCGAATGACTTCCACAATCTTGTGGGTGCCAATACCCATACGCCAGCCAAAGTCTTTGACTGTATCATATACACACTTGTGCCCAGTATGGCAGACACTCTGCAAAGCGTACCCGCCAATTGTGCAAGCACTGGTGGCTTGGTTGCATGCGCCCATGTATATGGGATCAGCGGTGTGTCCAAAGTGGAAGCCACCAGTGAACTTGCGCTGCTGCAGCGAGCCAATCTGGTGGCCTGGTGGTACCGGAAGACCCAGACGCGACGCCGGCATGGCTTCTGGGACGGCTTCAAAAGTGACTGCAGGGTGTCCAAAGGTGAGGGAGAGGAAAGACGACACGGCACCGCCGAGAGAGTGGCCGGCCATCCAGATCTCGGCATCGGGATATAATGCTGTGACATTGTGGTACAAATCCTGTGCAGCGTAGTAGTAGCGGTTCTTCTCGCGAAGGGCAGTGACGAGACAGGTAGAGTTGCAGGTGAAGGCCGAGGTTTGACAGTCACAGACTTGTCGCCACAAGTACTGGCCGCCCTGGCCGCAGCAGCAGCTGAAGAACAAGTTGTCGTTGATCTTGTCGTTTGTAGTCGTCTCGGAGCCATCGAACATGGCGGGCGAGGTGCCCTTCAAGCCTATGACGACGGTCGAGTTCTCGGTGTCGGCGAAGATGTGGCCTCGCAGACCGTCTGATTCCCAGCCGAAGTCTTCAGTATAGTTGAAGCCGCCACCGACATCCTCCCACTCCCCCGTGCCGGGCTCTAGTATGTAGGCGTCCGAGGCCATGCGTGCGAAGCTTAGGACTGTCTCTCGGTCGGTGACGTTGGGGCCTGCTATGTCGTCGATTGTCCAGTCCTCTTCGGGCAACTGCACGCCTCTCCCGGTCCTTCTCCCCCACTCGAGTATGCCAGTGATGGTTTCCTTGCTCCTATCTGCCAGTCTCTGTATGCTCATGGTCTCGGACCTGACGCGCAACCGCGGCACAGGCTCGCGCCTGGCCGCGTCCTCGTCTCCGGCCGTCCATACTGCGGCATGTTCTGGGACGTCGATGCGACGGTGAAGCTCGGGATACCTGTAGGTGCCGTGGTGGAAGATGTGTCGCAGGGTAAAGTCCTTGTCGGCCTTGTGAGCACTATGTGGAAGAGGCGGCGGCGGCAAGACGGGCATGTCGGCCGCGCCCGCAACGCTCGCGGCCAGGAACGACAGCAAGAGTCGCATCTTATGAGAGTGTGACAAGGAAAGGGGGCTACGAACCAGACAAAGAAGGCGATGGCAAGTCCAAACAGCAGGTGATGGCTGCCTCCATCGGCGAACATCGATGACGATCGGTGCTTCACGCCATGCCCGAGCTCTCCGCAAAAGGAGCACCCAGTGGCGGCGGGTCGGTGCGGGGGAGCTCGCACTGGCATCTGATAGCGAGCTCCAGATAGCTCCACCACCACAAGTACCAACGCCCATTCCAACGTCACTCGTTGCCGGCTTCCGTTGGCAGCCAGCCCATCTGACCCATGACGTGAATGCATGAGCTCCCCAATGCAGGCGCACGACACACTTAGATTTCCATTCCACGCCCTGCAACAATAACAACATGACCGGGCGGCCCAGAAACCTGCATCCCTCACGCTCCTTTACGCGTCTCGACTCTGCGCCCAAGAGCCCACTCTCGCGAAGTCGAGCGAATACACTGCAGGGCCCAAACGCGTCAGATATGCTAGATCCATTAAAGGCTGCCATGGTCCCAGAGGAGGATGAGCATACTGATGGAGACGTCTTTGCCAACAAGGAAGACGGTGACGACAACACCGAGGGTGGAGAACCCGCAGTACCCGACACTTTTGAGGAGCTTCCCATCGAGATCCGCAGCTTGACCGAGAGGTATCTTCTGTCGCCCATGTCACGCATCACTGCATTAACCTGTCCGTAGATTCCTCGAATCCCTCACTGCCAAAGTCCATCCTACCCCCCCATCCGCCGATGCCCTTGCCCATCTCTTCCAAGACTTCTACGGCCGCGCCTCTGCAAAAATCAACACACACATAGCCACCCTCTCTGCTCGATTAACGAGTGATAACTATGTTGCGAACGCCAAGAAGGGGGCAGCCCCATCAAGCAAACCATCATCGATATCCAAGGGAAACGATCCGTCAGGGGAACAACAGATGCTTAGTGCGACAGAAATGGCCGACCGCAAGAAGGCACGGAGATCGCTCGAGCTCAAGCGGTTCGCACTCGAAGAGGCTGTGGAACGCGCCGTGTGCGAGAAAGTCTACCAGCGGATATGGCGGCATAGGAGCACTGACGACGAGGAGAGGGACCATAAGCTCAGATCGCGCACAGCTGCTCTCTCGCTTGTTGGCATTGGCTTAAAAGAGCTCTTGATGACTGGCGAGGAGTTGACTGAGGAGGAACGTCAGAAAGCCAAAGAGAAGGAGCCCGAGATCCGAGAATACCTATCTGCCGCACGTCAAGATATCTTGAAGATGAATGAGGAGAAGTATCCGCTTGGAAAGGTCCAACATCTGACTGCTGCACACAAGTCCATTGTCGAAGCTCTGTCAAAGATATTTCCTTCCACTTCGTCTGCTGATGAAATTCTCCCAACGTTGATCTACGCACTTATCACTATGCCACCTGTCGACTTGAACGTTATTAGCGACTTGAATTTTATACATCGATTCCGCGGATCCAGCCGTATGGATGGTGAGACCGCATACTGCCTGGTCAATTTGGAGGCAGCCATCTCATTCTTGGAAACCGTCGATCTTTCTTCCTTACGTGCCGAAGAAGCCGTTCCCACAAAGTCAGACTCGAGGCCTTCGACGCCCAAATCCGAGATTACACCAATGCCCTTGGGACTTTCGGACGCGCCGGATCTTATCCAAACTCCAGCCACTCCTATCTCCAAAACTCATTCCAGGGAACCTTCAAGTCCGACAACTACCAAAGCTCAGCGTCGGTTAAGCAACCTCATCCAAACGCAGACTAACAAGATTGAGGCTGCTTCTGATGCAGTTCGGGACTCGATTCTTGATTCCGCCGACCAAGCACTTGGCAGAATTAACAACACATTAGACACCAGCTTCAAGTTCTTCTTCGGTGGTCTAAAAGAAAAGAACCCGGATGGACCCATGCAGGAACAACCGGTACTCCCCAAGACACTAGAAGATGCAAGGAAGCTTGTGAGCTCTCCCACTCGTGCAGAGCGGGATGATGATAACTTGAGTGTCAGTGCAGCGAGTTCAGTACATGGTGACGAGTCTACAGAAACCCCAGTCAGCAAAGGATTGGACGCGAAGATGGCTGATCTTTTTGCTGGCAAAAGGCAGATTAGAGATCGTAGCGTCGATTCCACTAAATCCGGGGGAAGCAGTAGCGGACGACGTGTTGCATTTGCTACATCACAGAACGTAGAAGAGAAGGCACCATCACCAGCTCCTATTAAGGCGGATGCTCCAGCACCAGGCAACATTTCCGCTGTTGACTCTCTACGCAACATGGGCAACAACTTCAATCCTCTGAACCGATTGTCCAGTATGAACGTACTGCCCCGCTTTGCACGCGCCGTAAGCAGCAGTAGCACGCCTGTGCTCCCATCCCCGAGCCAAGAGCAGGTCAAGACATCGCCTTCTCCAGAGCCGCTGAGCCGCACAGCCACGAACGAAATACCACCAATCGATGACAAGGGAGCGAAAGCAGTCGCTGCGTTAGAGCAGCTAAGGAAGACTGCACCGCCTTCCAAACGCTTTTTAGAGGCCAAGGATGCTCAAGACTTGAAGCTCAAGGAGGTTGAAGAGCTACTAAAGGAGTACCAAAGACTTGCGGGCGCAATGAGAGGAGCCATCAACTATTGAAATGGGTCATGCACTTGGACGGAAAATATATACACAATTAACTAGGACCGAGAATCCTAATCATACACATCACCTGTGCAAACCCAGTGCGTATGTTGTGATATTGCTTTTTCTAGCAGATTTTGGCAATGCAGCACGTCGTGAACAGCGGCTGGCTCAGGGTTCCGGCCAAAACGGGGGTTACCGTATTAGGAAGGGGCAACGAGTGCGCACGGACTGTAAACAAGCAGCCACAACACACTCTTGTGCGCTCCGCATCGACACTGTGGCCGACTCTAGACACCGCAAACTCCGAACCGCACACATGACAGAACCAATGTCAGGTCTTTCGTCGGAGAAGCTAAACACCTACTCTGACGACATCATCATCGACGATATCGATATGGCGTACAACGACCCTCCCTCGTCGCCTTTTGTGGACCACATCGATGTCGAAGACCAAGAGAATATTGCCCCCAACGCAGCGGCCACACCCGTGAAGCCACTAGTTGATCTGGAGGACAGCGCACCGCAATCTGCGTTCAGAGTGTCGCCAGAGAAGAAGTATGGGCTGAAAGAGCGCACAAGCCCAATGAAGACGCTCCCGGTGAAGAATTTAATGGACGACTTCGACGACGCGGCACTCAAAATTAGCGGCGACGATCAACACACGCCCAAGAGAGATATCTCTTCAGCCAAGGAGACTCCCATCGAGCGACCAGGCTCCGCAATGAGCAGCAACTCCCACAAGAGCCAGTCACCCTCGAAATCGTCCCGCGTTCCTTCGCCCGGAACGGCTCAGCGCAAGACAACACATACACATCAACGCCAAATATCTGTTACGCCATCAAAACGACCGGCCTCTTCTCACCAAGAGCCAGCCCTTCGTGATAATGAAGGCTTAACCACTGCAATGAAATTCATGGAAGAGAGTAGCTCGAGAAATCGGGAAACTCCAAGGAAACAATCTTCGCGAAACGACGAACACGAGATCGATCTGAGTATGGACAATACGGACTTCAACCCAGACGGCCCAGAAGTAACATCCTTGGATGTTGACGATACCTGCTTCAGCAACTTCTCAGAAATGCCCGGAATAGATATGACAAAGTTTGCCGGCCTGAAGCAGAGCCCTACCAAAAGCCAGATGCCAGATGTGAGTCTGTACGACATCCGTCTGATACAAGATACTGACAACATGACAAGGCTACGCCTCGCGCTCGCACTCAAATGACCCCATCGACAGTCCGCCGGTCCGAACGTACACCTAGCCCTACGCCACGGCGCGCATACAACGACAATGATACTACAAATCTACTCCTAGACTTTACAGCTCAGATCGAATCCTTTTCCTCATCCCGCCGCGAGTCAGCAGGACGCAGCCGCCATTCGCCTAGCAAGTCCGCTGCTGAGCCAAACCTCCGCGCATACTACCAAAACCAGCGATCACCAGCCAAAGGTGGATCGCAAGTCCCTGCGACCCCGAACCATAGAAGCCAAATGTTGAATTTGCTAGATTTCGAGCTGCCTCCACCTCCAACACCACGCTCACTGCCTACTGTCACAATTCGTGAATTGGAGTCTGTAAAATCCCAATTCCAGTCTCAGGTCTCCTCTCTTACAGCTAGCTTGTCTGGAAAAGAAGCCGAGATTGATGCTCTTTCAAAAGCCATCGCCGATGCTGAGCGCCGGGTTGGCGAAGCCCAAGAGACTGTCCGTGACGAACGCTCAGCTCGTGAATATGCAGAGACTCAAATGGTAGACTGGAAATCAAAGGGTGAAGAGGTCCAAAGACTGCTGCAAGATGTCCAGGCCGAGATGGCTCGTAATGATGCTGAACGCGAAGATCTCCTAGCGAGATTGGCTGATGCTGAAAAGCGTGCGGATGATGCTGAGAGCCGGTCGGCTGAGCTTGAAACCAAGGTCATCGACGCTGAAAGCAAAAACGTGGACATGACGACTTTCATCAATAACGACGAGGGAGATGAGAACAAAAAGGTCTACTCTGAGCTCGAATGCCAATCTGCGATTGCTGAGAAGGTCAATGAGATTGCACGCGACCTACATACAGCTTACAAGGCCAAGCACGAGAAGAAGATCAAGGCCCTCAAGGACAACTACCAGAAGAAGGCCGATGATAAGTGTAAGGAGCTTCGGGCGCAGATTGTTAGTCTCGAACAACAAGTTGAGGAGGCAGAGAAGAAGCGTGACAGCACATTCAGCAAGACCAACCCCGATCAGCATAACTCCGAGGACGAAAACCAAAGAGTATCCCCCACAAAGTCTACACGAAACGTCGAAGATGCTCAGATGCTAGAAGCGCAGAGAGCCGAGATCGAAAACCTTAAAGCTAGACTCGCTGGTCTGCAATCTGAGCTTCATTCCCTTCGCAAATCCCATGATATACTTGTGGAGGATCTCGAGGCTGAGCGCATCGAGAAGGGCGAGCTGGTAGCAGCTGCCGAACAAATGCTGTCTATGTGCGGTGAGAAGATGGAAGAGATGCAACAAGAAGACCTTCGCCGTTCACAAATCAGCTCTGCACCACCTACTGCGCCTCAACAACAAGCACCACCCCAACAAGCAATGCGCAACACAGGCTTCCTTGCTGGTGGCTCCAGCACTCCTCGCCCTGCGTCTGCCCTCGTTGGTGGACGCCCTGGTAGTGCTATGGGTGACCGTCTAGGGGCCATGAATGAGCGCACAGGTAGTGCCATCGCCAAACCGTCCGGTCTTCGTGCACCAGGTGGTCTAAAATTTCAGGGTACTCCCGGACTGAACCGGAGCCAAAGTGGCGGGAAGAGCAGGTTATTGTCTAACATTGAGCGTATGGGCGGGGGAAAGACACAGGAGTAGGATGCCTGGCCTCCTATTGTACGTGCTATGAAAGGGTTTGGATATGAGATACCGGTCATAACGTTGGGATCGACTCCGGATTTATGGAAATTTTCACCAAAACATGGAGTTGGGGCGGCGCCGTGATGGAAGCGTATACTGGGCTGACTTGGTTACGAGCATGATGATCTGGACGCTGGCGTTGTCAAGGATCGTTAACTAGGTACTCGAGCTCTTTTTTATCTATTTTTTGTCTACCGTTTATGTTGGCGCATGTTAGGTGCGCTCCGTAGTACATGGAAGAGTAGAGTCTTAACCACTCTGTACAATTTTGTGCAATTAATGGCTTCTGCCGGTGCGTGCTCTTACCAGCCATGCTAATATGTTTGATTCTTCATCCAGCTTTCGTACAGCTCAGCGCCTGAATCTGGAAATTATACTGGGCAATTTTTCGTGGAAGCATCCGAGTCCATCCGTTGCAACATACTACTCAGCACGATCACTGTTAATATTCACAGCACGGCATCGCTTCCATGGGTCGTAGGGCTTCATCCGGTATCTTCGAGCTCGGCAGTGAGAAGGCCAAGGGGCTGGCAGGAAAGGTGGACGATCGTCCTAGGCTTTAGATCGCCATTTGCTGTTGCTTGTGTATCACAACTTGGTATTGCTTGTGCTTTGCACTCAAGAGGGTGATAATGGGACTTTGAGAAGCCAGTGAATGATCAGCTGTCATGATCGGTCCTGCGATCAGCATATTGTGAAGCATGTTTGAAAGCGAACGTTTTAAATTGTTTCGCAGTGTGACTAGTGTTGTACAATGTCTTTATCCCAGTGCCAACCCAGCCTAACCGTCATAAGATGTATGTGTGGATGTCGTGAAGCCTCCCAAATGGAACCAAACAAGCCAATCCGCCCTGCATGTGCAGTGTCAAAAAGTAAAGATCAAGGGCGTATGACATGCACCCCTGTTTCTCAAAGAAGAAGAGAAGAAAAACCCAGCGTCCAGGAACGTGATGAACGAGTGTGAAGAATGTAAAGAATATGTGGCATACACCAAGAAGAAACGCTCTGACAGCCCACCATCTAACCATACATGTCACAGCTCATGGTCTTGATCTCATACTCACTCTGGCCATCAACGACACCACAGTTGACATCCCAGCCCAACTCAAAAGTGTCGCTCTCAGGCATGTGAGCCTTAGCATTGGGGGCGCAGTTGGCATCCTCAGTGAAGTACGAGACCTCCATTCTGGGGGCTGAGTTCCAATCACACGCATCAACACGCTTGTAGAAGGTGCGGCGGTGCATGCGAAGAGCCTTGCGCTCGACGGCCTTGTTGGTAGAATCGCAGGAGCAGCGAGCCGCAAGGGTAAGCTCGTCACGACGGCACTCACAGCGAGAGCCGTCGACTGCATACCGACGAGTGCCTGCCTTAACCTTCTGGTGAGGACGGTTCCACCAGTGGCCGTCACTTGAGTCATCACTCTCTCCGGAAGCTTCGGAGTCGTTGGTCGCTGTCTGTGTGGGCTGGTACTGCTCGTAGATAGTAGTAGCTATGACAGTGGTAACGACGACAGCCGGGCTGTCCTCGACAGGCGAAGCGGGTGGCGATTGCTCGGAGCTCTTATCGTCCTCGGCGGGAGCCTCAGGCTGTGCGGAAGTTGGCTGAGGAGTCTCCTCAGGCTCAGTCTCGGAGTATGCTGGCTGCTCGGGCTGCGTCGCAGACTGAGATGGCTCACTGGGCTCAGTGCTATCGCCAGAGCCAGCACCAGAACCAGAACCAATGTGGACTTTAGCACAGTTCATGAATGACTATAATGAAGTTAGCATACATCTCGCATGTATCTCGTCTCACTCGCGACTTACCTCGTGTTCGCGATTGAGCCATACCCAACCGAAGATAGCATCACCTTCAGGCATACCGGTAGGTACTTTGAAGTCGAAGGTCTGGGCCTCAGGTGATCCATCTTCGGTGGCATGTGGGCAAGCACCGTGGTATGAAGCGGCCATCTTCCATGTCTTACCCTTGTCGGTCGAGAAACCGACCTGACAAGATCCTCCATAGTGGGTACCACCAGGCGCCGCTGGGTCGTAGTCATAGTTTGTCAGTTGGAAGTAAGCGTCTTGTCCAGGCTGCCAGGTGACAGTAGCATCCTCAGTGTCGAACTTGTCAAGGTGACCGCGGCAAATACCAGGAGAGGGCCTGCTGTCGCCACCGTCAGGGCCACAGCAGCCAAGCGGAAAGTTGAACTCGGGGTCAAGCTCCGTTGATTGCTTGTTGATGGCAGGGGCTCCTCCTAAGGGAGCCGGGTAGTACATTGACATGTGGGCCTGAGCAGCGCCGGCCAGGGCGAGCACAGAGACAATGTTCGTGTACATGATGATGTTTGTAGACGGATTCGTAAAGACCGTGAGTGACTTTTCCAGGGTATCAAATGAAGGTTTTGGAGCTTTAAGTGCTGGAGATTCGAAAAGGGTAGTCTATTGACAATGTCCCACTGTGAATATAGGAAGTGTCCGAGTGAAATCTCCTAGGTAGCAACAAAGAAGCTCAAAATGAAGACGATCCAGCGTTTTCGAACACAAAAGAGTGAATGTAGAAAGAATGTTGACGAAGGCTTGCTTGTCGGGAGGGAATGAGTGTCACTGGGAGTGATTCCCTCTTCCGCATCGGGTGGCCTCGAGCCTTTATATTGTCTGCCGACGACTGGACCAAGAATGCCGGCGGGCTCGTATGTATTCCCGCCCAGCACGGTCGGTCGCCAGCGGCTGGAGGCCGTTGTGACCAGCATGTTAGTCGAATCTACCCAGCACGAGAGCTGACTGGTAGCCCCTAACTACGTCGCGACCAATGTGAGTGAGGACCAGCTCGCGTACGTGCGGATACGAAGTTGGCCTTACTGTTTCGAAACAGCGAGACGCGAGAGTCTGTGGGGTCTCGGAGCAGCCCCGTTCAGGACCGCAAAGGTGTTTGCACTGTTCCTGGCTGAAGAGCCTCGGACTATGTTTCAAGCGTTGCCCTTTTGAGCATAGGAGCGGCGCTTGTTCCTGCCAAGGGATGTCAAGGCGGGGAATCACACACGAGATTTTGCCTGCCGTCTAAACCTCATCTAACAATGATTAGCACAGGATTTGAGGCCTTATGTTTCACCATTAGAGATCATCAACGTTTTTCGGCTGGCTTTCCAGTGCGGGTTGACGTACAAGGGGTCCCTCAGCGCGACAAAAGTCATATCGATAAGAGCACTCGCTTGAGCTCGCCACGTGCGTGTGTGATCACCCGTTCCCGAACGTTTGTTTTCACCATGTCCCTTCCTTTTACTGTCTCCGACTGCAGTATACGTGGTGTATCAACATTCAGGTTTACAAACTTGCTTTGGGAAAAGTTGATGTATGACACAGTCAACTGCAAGAGGGATTCGAAGCGGGCTGCGGATGCCGTTATGCGACATATGCCACCTTCCGTAAATGTTCTACCTGCTTTTAGCCTTCTTGCCATTCCCACTGGAGGGGTGTCATTATGTGTATCCACAGCTGCAGGGGACGCTCGGTGACGCGCTTCCAGACGCTCGCCTGGAATCAGAGCTCCATACACGTAATCGGAACTATCGGCGTTGGGCATCCAAGGCGGCCTCTAGGCACGAGTTCCAAATTCGCTTCTTTTGGATGCAACGTAATACGAGAGGGGTCTTGTGAACAGAGTCAATTCTTCGTTACACGAAGACAGTTCTGAGGACATCGCTTGCTTGGCCGCTATCGTGACGTCGGCTCTCCTCGGTATGCCTCGAAATAGGTGCTATCGTCAGCCACCATCAGACACAGTACAAAGTAGTCTGAAAGACACCATCACTCTATACCGTCGACGACATCCAGGTCCCATGTCATGAGAGATACCTAGAACCCTACAACACCGTTCGCAATATCCCAGCTTCCAAGGGGCCTTAACCCGTCAAATCTCAGTAAGGCTTATTTTGACATTAGGGATTCCCGCGCCATGTCCGGGCAGCCATTTGATCGCCCAGGCAGGCAAAGACGGACTTACCATGAAGCGCCTGGTGGGACAACTAACGAGATCCCGCTAATCCCAACCGCCCGGTTGTTTCACCTCACCATCACCTGCGTTATCGATTGGGAAGCGATACCTGCACGGATATCTATCGCGGCCCGCCAGTTGGAATGACAAGCGAGAGGTTCCTTGTCCTGGCCCTCTGGGTCACCCGGGGATGCCTTTAATCTGGGACCCGTTGTTTAACAAGCGATGTGTTATATGGAGGCGCCAGTGCAGCGCCCTGGAATCTGATATAGACCAGTGAGATGCCGTCAGGCCGTTGAGTTGCGAAAGCAAATCTTACGACAAACAGTGATGCGATGCGCCCGCCCGGTCCCTGCCCAGAACGTTTGTGATACTGTGATGAAGCCAACGGGCTTCCAGACCTTGTTCGCCCAGTACGCTGTGAACCAGTTGCCACAACGCCTTGAGAATTGTAGCATATCCCTTTGCGAGAAGTAAATCGTGCATGTAGCACGTACAGGACTGACTGGATCTGGTTTCAAAGTCCTAGAAAGCCATGGCGTCCTCTCAAAAAAAAAGCAATGTTTAGGCAGTATCACTTCATGCACGGTAATATGCCACCTCTCTCAACCTACAATGCTTGTGTGCATCAGGTGTACACGGTCTACCAAGTCTATCCAATTCTTGGCGCTTCTGCTAGCTGTAACTCCTGCATCGAAGTCTTGACAATTTGTTCCGGACCTTTGAGGCCTAGCTCGATTGTGTTAACCCAACCCACTAGATACCCGTATAGCCGAGACCTCTTTCAGCTCATATAGTGCGTTAGGATGCCAATGTAGCGTACCAATATACCACGGAAACTCAAAGGAGATACTAACATGGCTAGTCATGTTTCCCGTCTCTTCTCTGCATGAGCAGTATACTTCAATCCCCTTTATAAATCATCAAATCCACAAGTACTAAACTTCCACCACTCAGCTTTCTACTTCCACATACGCCACCTCATGGTCTTACTCTCCGTTCTTAAGCCATGATGCAAGTGCTGCAGCCCATTCTCCTAAGTGGCGTCATGGTTTATGCAGAGTATAGGCAACTGAATCGTCTTATCTATGCCACTGTGGCCCCCTGGCGCATACGTCAGTAAGAGGGACATTTATTAGTTGGTAAAGAGCGGGCGTGTGACTTTTCATCGTCCCCTACATACCCTGGAGCTGATATTGTTGCGCTTTGCTACACAGGGTTGAAGCCTGCGTTCTATTCTCTACGCTCTCCTTCGACGACCGACATACCCAGCTGAGCAACCGAACACTGATATGTCGCCAGACTGTGCCATATGAGTTTCTTGTACTCGGTGGTTGAAGTGTGAGGTGCTTGGTCGTAGATACTCTTCAGCGCGCGGATGAGACAGTTGTAGGCAGCGATGATCCTAGTTTCTGCTTGCGGATCCCGAGCCGTACTTCCACCATAAGAGCTGGAGAAGGACAGGAGCTTCATCGGGCCACTTTCCCATGCGTTGGATCTGCATTTGTGAGTCGTACCATAGTCCAGCACCATTAGCGTAAGATGCGGTTCTCTGTTACCTTCGTGCATCCGCCTTTTCAGCTCCTCCACCTGTGGCATTGAGTCTCCAACAGGGGAAGTTGGACCGCACTCCTGAACGTATGACCTCGGACTTGTTGCTTGGATAGATGACTACTTCGACGAATTAATAAGAGATGAGAACTTTGGTAAGCTGGCAACAATAAGGCTCTATCGCTTCTGCTCGCCTTCAACGTCCTTCCCCGCGCACTGCAACTTTACACGATCGTCTTGCCAGCTAATGAACGACCATATATGTTCTTTTGCTAGCCTGTATGCATCAGGTGCTTGCTAATGGCGTAGGCATGCATTCCTTGGCACCTGCTGACAGCGATACATCTCCCTCCCAGGTCAAGTAGGCGTCAGAGGCGTCCAGATTCACGTCACAGTGTCATGGTCGCTAGCTTCTCATAGTATGTGATTCCACCATTCAAATCTACTTCTGAAGCAGCTTCTCTAGCTCCGCGGCTATCGCATCACCGACTTCTCTCGTACTTGACTTTCCGCCAATATCAGCCGTGCGGATGCCGTTATCGATGGTAATCCTGGTCGCCTCGTCGATCTTTTGCGCAAGCTCTGGTAGACACAAAGAGTACTTGAACATCATACTGATAGAAAGGACGGTCGCGATGGGGTTAACGATGCCTTTGCCGGCGATGTCGGGCGCAGAGCCTATTATCTGTGAGCAGGCGCACTTGCAGTGATAGATGAGAAGACGTACCATGGATGGGCTCATAGATTCCGTTCAGCTTGGTCTTTCCATCTGGGATGCCACCCAGACTGGCACTCGGCAGCAGACCCAGACTTCCTGGAATGACACTGGCCTCGTCGCTAATGATATCACCGAACAAGTTGCTGGTAACGACAACGCCGTTCAGCGCTCTCGGGTTTTTGATCATAAGCATAGCTGCCGAGTCGATGAGGTGGGTGCCCGACTTGAGATGCGGGTACTCGTCCTTCATGATGCGCTCAAAGGTTTTTCGCCATAATCTCGAGGTCGCCAAAACGTTGGCCTTGTCCAAACTCCATACTGGCACGGGCGGGTCTTCGACAGATGCGAGACTACCTGCTAACCGTACGACGCGTTCGATCTCCTCGACGCTGTATGGCTCCGTGTCCATGGCCTTGCCATCGCCCTCGTCTTCCTTCCTGTCGCCAAAGTATATACCACCAGTCAATTCACGGATAATGTTGAAGTTTACGCCGCGGACGTTGTCAGCCTTGAGGGGCGATGAGTCGACGAGAGAGTCGGAGGCGAAGAAACACGGTCGCAGGTTTCCGAAGGTGCCGAGTTCTTTGCGAAGTCTTAGGATACCTTGCTCGGGGCGCACCTTGCCGGTTCCCCATTTCTACATGAATTGTCAGAAGGCGTTGCATAGCTTGGAGACTGGAGGCTTATACCGGCCCACCGACGGCGCCGAGAATGATGGCGTCGGCTGACTTGGCTGCTTCGAGCGCTTCGTCTGTGAGAGGGTTGTTGTGCGCGTCTATCGAGCACTAGAACATGTTACCGCGGATTCTTTGCGTCATGGCTCAAAACTTACTCCTCCAAACAGGTGCTCTTTGAAGTTGAAAGTGTTGTCTGTGTGCTTTTGGACAACTTTGAGGACCTTGATCGCCTCAGCGACAACCTAAACATGCTCGTGAGTAGTTGTGCAGAGAAAGTGTCGAGGCTGCTGTTACCTCGGGGCCGACACCGTCACCTGGATGCAATTAGCACACTGCTTGTCCAATTTGCACGAACATGGCTTACCAGCAAGAACAACAATATTGTGAGCAGTCATGATGAATCGAGTATGTATGAGTTTCGATGATGGGTACTGCACGCTCAGCAAGTTTTACCAAAGACTCGTGAAGCTACCCCACGGTGCAATGCCAGCCCCGCTACATGCCTCGCCCCTCCGACGTCGGCCGCCTTGCGCCGAACATCGAGGCTCCACAAACACGACCAAGTTATGCTTTTTCAACCTCACTTGTGAGCATTCCGATATCGCTAGGTCCCATTGTCTGTTGCTGCCTCCCATGTCATTAGCGATTCCTATGTACGGGAAATGACTTGTTCCTCCTACACAGGTGGCATATATTGACACTCACGAAGAGGTGAGATTCTCTTGTATGACGAGATTTTAAACCACTCACGCCAACGAACTGTTATACACCGATGCAACCGTTGGATTCATCGCCACTGCGATTCATGAGCTGCCGAGATATGATATGTTAACAAGAGTATCAGAATACATGTTCTCGTTTTGAGGAGCATACTCCTGTGGTCTACCTGACTACCTGCAGATGTATTGAATGTAAAGACAGAACGGAAGAAAGAGACCATTCCGATATTGGCTTCAATGATTCCCACATTAGAGTCTGTCCAATTGTCCAGCACATGTGTCGTTGGAAGTGCAGGCATCTGCAGTGGCAGGCTCTGACCCCAAGTCTTATCGCCAAATACAAGAGTACACACAAGCACAATGCGGGATCAAGTTCAGGGCGACCAAGACGACACCGCTGCAGAACCGTGTTCCATGGTTATCGCAATGCTTGCGGGAATCGCCGCGGCTGCTACTGAAGTGTTATGAACAACAGAAGCAGGAACGATTGCTGGTAGATTCACTTTCTTCTTCCATCCGTTCCGCCTGGGCATGGCTATGTCTCCAGGGCTAGAACGTGTTTGCCTTGACTTATTAATTAGGTTTGGATCAAAGCGCAATTTGGTGTTGTTCTCGCTGCTCAGTACCGAAGCGGATCGCCGGCTCGTTCCATCATCCTTTCTATATCCTGCTCCACTGTTCTCATGTGGGGACCTGACCGTAGAAGTATGGGCATGTCCAGGACCTTTGCAACCCGATCCGCCACAAGTATACGTCTGTGTTACGAATACCGCTTCTTCATCCACTGGAGCACCGACTGTCCAATCGGCAACAACCCCTTGATGTACGGCCGCGTTTGCCCCCTATGGTTATTGAACGGCACAACAGTGAGACGACATGGATGATAGGGGGGCAAGAGTTATCACCACCCTCTCATTATCCCTAACAAGCATGCATACCAACCTTTGGGGGACGTGCGACTACCATATGATGATCAAGGCATGCCATGAAGTCTTGGAAGAAGTTACTTTTGGATGCTGCACGACTGGCGATTTGGGAAATTGGAGGTTTGGCGTTTTGGCGTTTTGAGTAAGCAATACGTGGAATTGGTGCAGTAAAGTTTAAAGCTTCCGCCCGTACTAGCTAGACCCAAGACCCCGTGGGGTGGAAAAGTGATGGAAGAGGCCGCAGGCCACAGTGATGCGTCGTGGAGGCTCTGTGATCAACGCGCGGGATGGCGCATCGTCTAACCTCTGGTGCACCAGCCTCCGCAGATCTACTCCCCACGCGCAAGCTGCAAGTCCCGATTCGGTTCTCGATACACGCTTCCTAACCTACAGATCACAGCCAAGAGTCTTGGTATATGAAGATCCCCGATTGCGCCTCACATCCAGTGCGTGGTCTCCTATATAAGTCGCGGCCGGCCGCATCTTTTTCACGACAAGCCTCCGCGTTTCTGGGCGCCGCGCAAGGACGTTGCGTAGTTCGGTGCGCCAAGGTATGCGCAATATCGTGATGCAATGTTTGGTCGGTGGTTGTGCAATTTGTACTCTGATCTGCAGCTTTGTGGTTGGGTTGAGTAAACGTGTTGGAGATGCGTTTTGGACTGGCTGCTCTGGGCATGGGGCTTGGAACCATCTCACTATCCGCGTATCGCGGTTGGCGCAATAACGCTGTAGTGACCCCGTGTCCCATGATGCCCCAGCTTACCTGTTTCCGTTCCACCACTAGTCGACTTGACAGATATAATCCACACGGTCCCCCTCTACATGTGTTGGCTGCAGTTCGTGGTCCACGGCCCTGAGCAATGCCGGTACCGCTCCCCGATTTGCGCGATTAAAATCACAGCTTTTTTCAACAAACGAAGCGAACTACGGTTCGCGCCGCAAACACTGTGCAGCACATCTCTAGCCGCATAAGACCACTGACTCGTTTCTCTCCTTCATGACTTTGCAACCTCGCACTCTCTTATACCACAACTGCAACAACGAACCCAAGCTCGTCCGGTAACGTATACCCAAAGCCGTCCGCGGCGAGCATTCCAGCCACCTCATCCGAGACCCGCTACAAAGACACAAGCACTCAAGCCACGACCACACACTTCACCATGTTGTCCGTTCGCTCCAGTGTCGACAGCATCTACAGCCGGCTTAGCGGCGAGAAGCCTCTTCCGAAGCCGGCCTACCACTGCAACATGAACCCACAAGAGCAATCACTCTGGGCCATCATCGTGAGTACTCTTCTGCCAACCTCATGTCTGGAAATAATTGTACTAACAATTATTTAGGGCGAAGAAAAATATGAATACACCCGCGACAAGAAGGGCAGGGTACATAAGCGCCGCCTCAGCTATGTCCAACGCGCCCAGAAGCAGCGTCAATTCTTTGAGTCTCGCGTCGGCCATGCCATTGTCGGCGATGAGTGGATGAGGATGAAGCTTCCTTCCCGCAAGTGCTAGCATATCGCCATGCGCACGTGGCTAATTACTGCCAACATTACGACTGATACGTTATGGGCCATCGTGTCCTGGAGCTAGTCGGGCGGTTTTCATTGGCTTTCGGTGTGCTTCTGTCTGAGGTGAAGATTATAACACTTCTTCAATCTACTATCTCTTTTGTAATGGGTTTGGGGGCGTCGGATCAGTGGCCTTTCGCATAGGATATACCCGGCATATGCATTCAGCGTGGAGTTGGTTACGCTGCCAAGATCAATCTATTTCATGGTCAAAACCTACTTCTATTTCTTGACGATATTGAAAGTGTGACTGTAGCTGCTAACCAGGTGGTGTTGAGAGGGGTGTAGGTAATTACAAGTCATGTTCGAGACCACAGTGGTCCATCTCAATAGCAAGCAGTGTAAGTCGTATGCGAAAATACTTTGCCGAGTCTTTAGAATGTTTCTTTGGAATGAATAGATAGTACATGTTGTGCCTAGGATGTGAAGTGGTGTAGAGCTGGAGGACGCCTGGCTGTCGGCCCAGCGCCACTGGCCGTAGCTCGCTTCTGCCCATTGGTCAGTTCAGCGATGGCGGCCGCTCAGCCTTCGCCGCGGGCTGTGACCTCAGTCTCCATTTTCTCAGCCAACACACCGAAAGCGAATCGCCATCTGATCAAGTCATAATGTTCTGGCCCTACCCATGAGGAAATACGCCTTGGAGAGTTATAACATTAACCTTACACCATGTCGGATGAGGAGGGCCTGTTGGTCATCGCCGCAAATGGCGACCTTGTCCTTGAGGTCGCACAGGAAGAGGGCGGACAGCAATTCTCATATCGCGTAGACTCCAAAACACTGCAGCACAACTCGCGGTACTTTGAGAACCTGCTCAGTGATCGCTTCCACGAAGGGCAACAGCTGGCGAAAGCTTTAGAAGCACTCCAGTTGAGCGAGGGTGCCAAAATCGCTGATGTTCCTGTCGATGCGCTTCCTCACATATCCATCGTCAATGTCGGGCGTGTAGCCGTCGCCAAGGTCTCTTCCATCCGGAATCTCATAGCAGACTTCCTTCGCGCAGTCCACGGTCTCGACCTTGCCGTAGCCAATCCTCCCGTGGCCAATCTCGCCAATCTCGCCGTTGTTGCCGACCGATTCGATGCTGTCGCGTGCCTGTCAAAGCATATACAGAGAAAGAAGTACCTGCAGTTGATCGATGCAAAGTCGAGAGGCAAGCCGGCCACAACGCAGACGGAAGAGAGAATACGACAAAAGCTCTTTGTTGGTCTTCTTTTCGATCATCCATCATGGGTGACGCGATATTCAAAGCATTTGATCATGCGGGACTCAGTCCAGTGGCGACCGGGAATAGAAGAGGACCATACAAAAGCCTTATGGTGGGACATACCAGACGTCGAGGACGAGTTGATACAACGGCGAGAGTACATACTTGAGACCATCAACTCTCTACAGGCTCATTTCCTTAAGCTGTACACGTCGGAAGAACGTCAATGCAAGCTCTGGTATGATACATCGCTGCAATGCGATTCTTTTCAACTAGGAGAAATGATTCGCTTCTTTTCCAAGATTGACACTATACGGTTGCAAGGCAAAATCTATGACAACACGGAGCCGACGTACTATCTTGGAGACATCGATCGACTTCTATCATCGCTCCGCCAGTGCTCCAACTACCAGGTCGATAGCAACCATGGGCACTGTGGACTGCGGTCACGAATACTGCCGCTCCTTGACCTCATACAGAATCAGCTCAGTCTGGACACAGGCAGTTTGGATATCGGCATTTGTGCAGAGTGCTGGACGAACCATCGCAAGGAGTATGCCTGGCAATTAGCCAAGCGACCAGTGGTGTGGGCGCATCCAAAGTCTTTGACCGGCAATCGGACTCTTGCTAACGCAGCCCCGCGTAAAAGTCACCAAAGGACGCCCAGTAGCTGCCTGAGTAGGCATGTGGCGGTCAGGGACCTCTTCATGGCTGTGGAGCGCGACTGGACTTCAAGGGACGTGTATCAAGGAGACAACACACCATCAAGGCCGCTTTTGAGACCTTCTTGAGCCTCACACAGGCCTACGCTCAGAATGCCTACGTCCGATACTGGTACGCTAGGGCAGGCTAGGGCAATTCAACCTCAGCGCAATCTATTGAAATCCTGCGCGGTGCCTAGGTATCTACGAGATATTATGCGTGCCACCCCGAAAGATTTTTCGGGTATTACAAGCACTGTGGAGGTATCGCAAAGGTGTGCAAACTTGAGGTTGTGTGTCTGCCTTAGGAACTCTGACGGAATAAGGAAGGTCACTTGCATGTTGAGCGCCAGAACGAGATGAAAACCAACCCACTTGGTCGACTCGGTGTTCGTTACACTTACCAAGAAGGTTCACTGGATGAAGTGTAGTGGTTCACGCGCCGTTTGTTCCTTAAATCCATTGCGTATGATTCGTTCAGAAAACGGTTGATGATTGTGGACCATCTTGTGAAGTATTACGTGCTCGGCTGTGCGGGATTAGCATCGTGATGTGATTGGGTGGCGGCTGCGCAGTCAGCCATCAACGCTATCTAGCAGCTCGGCTGTGCATGCTTGCTCCTGCGCAGCACATGGCGTTTTCATTGCAGCTACCCGAGCCACATAACGGAAGATGCCATACGCTCCTGCTCATTCGTGATGAGTCGGCACTCAAGGCCGCTGCTAAGGCGTACACGAGGCAGATCTAATACCATCTCACCGTCTTGGTGATGATTGTGTATAAGGATCCACCTGAACCATCAAACAAACATCCCTTTTACATCAAGACACAGGTAGTCCAATTAAGCAAGCTTCCACCTGTCATTACGGTTTGCTCTTGAACTCATTCTGACGTTCGCCCTTGCTCAAATGTCTGGCTCACTTTCGGCTCTCCATTATCTCGACAACACCCACTCTCTAAATTGCACTACCTCTGCCTACTGTCAACAGAATACACTATCCACAAAGTCCGGAAGTATGTATCAAAAACTGAAGAAGACCTTTTCGACCCGCAAACCTTCAAAGCCAAGCAACGATTACATTTCGTGGGACACAGAAGGTGCTGGACAGACACTGAACAACACGCCTGCAGCTGCACCGGTCAGCAAAAGAAGCACTGAATCCCACAACAATGGTATTGCACCACCCTTACGTACCAATCCATTTACATTTGCATCACCTGCTACACGAAGGCCTAGTAAGTACTATATATCCCGCATCTGATGGGCATAACCCGGGTGTTTTCTTCAAATACTGACTGCCCAACAGACAGCTCAAATGTAAATCCTTTTAGTTCTGATCGCGAAGCCCCGCCAGCTTACACACCAAGTCCAACTCAGAACGATCATGTAGCAATTTCAGCTTCAGCTACCGGTCCTTTGGACGATGATCCTTATGACTTCCTCAGAACCTTCGACACAGTCTTTCTAATTGACGACTCAGGGTCTATGGCCGGTCGCTCTTGGAGGGAGACTGCCAAGGCTCTTGAGATGATTGCACCGATTTGTACTCAGCGGGATGCCGATGGAATCGATATCTACTTCCTCAATCACCCAGATTCTAGCCTTTACAAGAACGTCACATCAGCGAGTACCATCATCGAGATTTTTCAGACCGTGCGTCCCAGCGGTGGTACACCAACCGGTCAGCGCTTGAATAAGATCTTGAAGTCATATATCCAGCGATTCATGAGAGACAAGACGATTAAGCCAATGAACATTATTGTCATCACCGATGGGGTGCCTTCTGACGATGTCGAATCCGTCATCGTTTCAGCTGCCATGAAACTCAGCAAAGAGGATGCAGATTCATGGCAAGTCGGTATCCAATTCTTCCAGGTTGGCAAAGAGCCCGGTGCGCGGGAGCACCTCAAGAGTTTGGATGACAATATTGCCGAGATAGCGGGGAGCATGGCAGGTAATATGCCGGTGAGAGATATCGTGGACACGATTCCTTTCACTGGCGAAGGAGATGCCGAGCTTACCGCCACGGGAATCCTTAAGGTCGTACTGGGCTCAGTTAACAGACGCTGGGATCATAATTCCCGGGACTTGCATCGTAGCTAGCCATGTATGGCTTGCTTCCACAAGGATCCAAAATGTGCCCTGTGGGTGGGCCTGTTGGCGTGTTATCCGAATTCCTCAATCTTATACGTCTAGAGATACTGTTATTGGTTTTGACTGGGTATTATTACGTACTAGGTGTAGGTGGTGTTATCGCGGGAGTTGGTGGTTCGACATCCTTACTTTGCAGGTGGCTTCTGCATACGCATGACTATACCCCCCTTGTCTGCATGATACGACTTTACATGAACGGCTGGGCGGATATTTGCATGCGCTCTTCTAGCTTCAGCCATAGGCGGTTTATTATTGTACCAGTCTCAAGAGCTGGTTCGTATCTCTTCTCTCAATACTCATACGTTCATAAAAGGCCTCACGCTATAGATTTAACTCCACTCTTCTATCAAAAGTAGTTATCTACTGACGATCACAGAGCCCACTCATTGAATGGGCTCGATGTCAACGTTGTTCCCTGAGGACCGGGAGAGGAATGGTCTTTATGCATGAAAGCCTGAAGGCCTGAAGGCCTGAAGTCTGCCTGATGATGCCTTACAAGGCAGACTCGCCTATATCTACCGGTTGCGGCGAGAACTGATACCATCTTCCCGAAGGTAAACAATCCCGTAAGGCATTGTAGGTGTCAGATCGGTAAAGTCGAGAGTCGTGGCTATCGGTCTATGCTATATTATACGCCACTTGGTGCAGCTGGCGCTGCAGGAGGAGAGTGGAACACGCCTCTCTGATCAAATCCATAAATATAACTTGCTGTCACCTCTCTTACTACAACAAAGTGAAAGCCTGAATTGTAAGCATAGTTGAGAGTTGTATACAACACGGTTCACTAGCGATATACTTATACAGAAGACGCACCAAGACGCTATAATATGTACAACAAGTCCAACGAACAATCAGGCGAGCTCTAGCATGTTAGATGAGCCAACAGTAGAGAACATGAGTTCATAATCCCTTAGCTTATGCAATACATGGGAGTTGTGAATATACGCAGTCAAAGAGAAAACCTAAGTGAGTAGACAGTGACACTTGTTCGATGGGTCTCGAGCCCGTCTGACCGAAAGAGCAAACCACGTTCACGCCTGTCTATAGCGAAAGCCTACAGGGTGCCTAAGCGATATTTGTAGTGGCTTGCTGCAGTTGTAATACGTGGCTTGTGTATGTTGATTGTGAAGGTGACATAGCTAGACAAGCTGGTATCCTCTGTACATTTAATTTAGTAGACAAATGCAAGACCAATTTGATAAGAGGATCAATCCTGTAATTCTTCCAGCCCATATGTGATTGGCCATGAAGCTCATGTGGGACATGGGCAAGGACCGGAAAGTTAAAAAAATGTTTCCTGGCTTGACTTCTTTTGTCCGAAAGGAATTATATACGAACATTATCCGGGGCCTCTGGTCTTTCCTACTGCTTGGCTGCTTCTCTCAAGATGGGCGCAACAAAGGGTTACTGCTGGCTGTAAAGTGGAAGGACTCGGTCACTGCGGAAAGGGTGGGATGTTTTCATATTGAAGACGTTGGGCCGATCATGTCGCATGAGCTGAGAAGGAAAAGGGTGAGACTCATCTAGACGTGTACGTAGTTGTACATGACACGCATGGGCTCATGGATTTGTTTCCTGTTTGCGCGTGTCTTGTACAAGATTGAGCGATGTGGTGCAGGGATGGCGTAGGCGGGATCTTCGCGACGATGACGTTTTGGCTTCCCGGTAGCTTGGCCTGAACCCCGATTACAACATTTCTGGGCATGTCGAGCCAGAAAGAGGGGACAAGCGCCGAAGCTGCCATTCCCTACTTCACCAATCTCTCCTGGTCTATTTACCGCATCAAAATTGCCCTGCTCACCTCGGGCTCGTCGTCGGACATGGCCAAATCAAAGGCGCTGCAGAGCAACCTGGACGTCGACTACGTGATTAGCTACCGCTTTGCGAAGACTGGTATGGGTGTGCCAAGGCTGGGTTCAGCATGGATATGCTAACAGGCGCGCAGACAAGGCGAAGGCCATCGCGCAGTTTGAGAAGCTCTGCGAGGCTCTGGCCAACGTTGGGCTGCAGACCGAGGTCCGCAATGGAGAGTCGCACTCAATCCTCCTCTTCGTGCGAGTAGCTTCAGACGAGCACCTGTTTGGTGAAGTATACAGGTCCAGGTACTCAAGACTTGATGCCCTTCATAAAGCCGCTTACTAAATGCCAACAGAGTCCGCGACTGGATCCACGGCGTTCGAACGGCTGCCCCCGAGAAGGTTACCCGCGAATCGCTCGAAGCCGAGCCCCTCTACGAGGCCGAGAGACTACGCATAATATACCAGCTCATCACCAACCCTCCCTCTGAAGGTGGAGCCGGCATAACACCCAAAGAGGGAGAATGGGAGAACGTCGAGTCCGTCTTTGCGCTGCACGACCATGCCTACAACAAGGATTGGATCAAGAAGTGGACCTCGCAGTACATCCTGACGACGGAAGATTTGGACGACATCAGAAACAGGCTGGGAGAGAAGGTAAGCTTCCAAGATACCGTCTCGTGCCGTGGTAAACTAACATGGTCAGATTGCCTTCTATTTCGCCTTTACACAGTCCTACTTCACCTTCCTCGTTCCCGCTGCCGCCTTCGGTTTCTTCTCATGGCTCTTCTTCGGCTCCTTCTCGCCCATCTACGGTCTTGCGAGCGCCCTGTGGTGCACCGTCTTCACTGAATACTGGAAACACCAGGAAGTCGACCTGAGCGTTCGCTGGGGCGTCAAGGGTGTTTCCAAAATCGACGTCAGGAAAAAGGACTTTGAACCTGAAAAAACAATCACCGACCCAGTCACAGGCGAACAAGTCGGTTTCTTCCCAGCATCCAAGCGCTTCCAGAGGCAGTTGCTGCAGATTCCATTCGCCATAATTGCCGCTTGCTCGCTTGGAGCCGTCATTGCGACCTGCTTTGGTATAGAGGTCTTTATCTCTGAAGTCTACAACGGCCCGCTAAAGAGCCTTCTCGTGAGTGTTGAATCCCATCTGCAGCATATGGTTTGACTAACCCTACAAGGTCTTCATCCCTACTGGCATTCTCACAACCGTCAATCCTATCCTAAATACTATCCTGACCCAGGCTGCTACCCGTTTGACCCAATTCGAGAATTATGAGACGTCGCAGGCGTACGACAAGGCATTGACCCAGAAGATCTTCGTCATGAACTTCATCATGTCTTACTTGGGAATCTTCCTGACTGCCTTTGTCTACGTACCATTTGGCAAGGTTATCGTACCCTACCTTGACGTTTTCAACGTTGCTGTCCGACCTTTCGCTGAGGACGAGAAGCAACTACACCTCAACTCGACGAGTTCCAGCTGGACCATCAACCCCGATCGCCTCCGCAAGCAAGTCATATACTTCACAGTCACTGCCCAACTCGTCAACCTTGGCATGGAGCTTATCGTTCCGTACCTCAAGCGTCGTGGCCTTGCCAAGTACAAGGAGATGCAGTCTGACAGAGCTGCAAGGAACGGCGGTTCCGCACCGGCCACCGCCGAGAACGACCCTGCTGAGGACGCTGCCTTCCTTGATCGTGTCCGCAAGGAAGCAGAACTGGATTCTTACGATGTCACCGCCGATCTTCGTGAGATGATTGTGCAATTTGGCTACCTGTCACTCTTCTCCGTGGTTTGGCCACTTACCGCTGTGTCCTTTTTGATCAACAACTGGATCGAGCTTCGTGCCGACGCTATGAAGATCTGTGTTGAGATGCGACGACCCACTCCATGGCGCGCTGATACAATCGGGCCTTGGCTCGACTCCCTCTCCTTCCTTACTTGGATGGGCAGTCTCACTACGTCCGCTCTTGTCTACATGTTTTGGAATGACCGTTCTGGTCCCAGCGGCAGTCCTTCCAACATTCAGCTCTGGGCCCTCCTTCTGACTGTCTTCTTTTCTGAACATCTTTTCATCCTATTCCGCTGGGGCGTTCGCATCGTGCTGTCCAAACTCGATTCCCCAGGCCTACAGAAGGAACGCCGTGAACGCTTCCTGGTGCGCAAGCAATACTTTGAGGAGAATCTCAGCCAGCTGCAGAATATTCCCAAGTTGAGTGACAAGGGTGGCGAGATTACTAGGAAGAGTCTCGAAGAAGAAGCTAGGCAGGGTAGTCTTGGAGAAACTACTCCAGTAATTAGGTTCTGGCAGCGCCAGAGGAGCTGGAGAGAGAGTGCGGCGGTCGCCAAGGATCTCATCAGCAGGGCGCAGAATGAGACCATTGTGGAGACGAAGAAAGAGTTGTGAAGGTTGTCAACAGTCTGATTGTCAATCGCTACCCGAGCGGCGCGGTATAGTCGGCGTGTGATGGGGAGTAACGAGAGTGGTAATCCTTCGAGACTTTTATTGTGTTAACTTCAGCATTGTTAGCCTGGCGCTGTCTTGTGTAAAATCTTGCTTTGGAAAACTACCAGGTAATGACAGTATACAAAGACGACTGGCAATAATTTATGGTACCTATTATGGAGCAAGCTGGGGCACTTGATCTCGTGCCTATGCTAACGAAGACCAACTGATGGCGAGTTACCAATGCCTCTTGATGCTTTTGAAGAGCTTGCTCCCGGATCTGCCTTGACCGAACATGCGGATAGACTAATCTTTCTTCCTCAAGCGCATGCCTAAAGCCTGCTACTCAATGAGAAAAGACGTCCTGTTGCTGGCGACATTTCTGAAGAAGGGACTGACGTTGGAAATCGCAATGCGACGTCCTTTGATCAGACCAGGCTTCCGATTCGGCGTTACAATAGCAGGAGTATGTACTAGATATAGTTGTCCGCGTTTAGCGTATCATTAGTATCATCTTGGTGCTCATAAGAGCAAGCAAAAGAACAGCGAAAAAAAAGAGAACAGATTTTATCATGAAACGTCTACGGTACAAAGAAAAGGAGTCATAGAAAACATATGGAGACTGTGCATCTCGTGTCGTTTGGTCAATTAGGACCAGACAGGAAACAACATCGGTGGCGGGGAGGACTCGTGTCGCCGCGTCGAGATCTGTGGGATCAACATGGTGTGTGCGAGGCCTGTTCCGGTCGATGAGGCGTCCGTCCAGATAGTGTACGTAGATAGCTGCCAAACGCCTATAGCGCCGTGAATTGGGTATCGTGCGATGGTTCAAACATTCATGCCGCCCTAATCTGTTCGCATCGTGAGTAGACCCTGCCGAAGCATTCGTACTCGCCTACCCATAACGACGCCTTACACCATACTCTTCTGATACTCGACATCCCTGCTGGCCCGTTAAGCTGCAATTACCATTCCGTTCAACTGCGCCTGGACCTTCTTCCACATGACTCATGCCCATTCGTCATTCCAAGTTTGGGTGTCATCGATGTCCTTGTTAAGAGGTGTCCTGGTCCGATTTTGGCCAAGCAGGAAGTAAGTCTAGTCTGGGAAGTATCATGAGAGTCCAAAAGGGCTCATGACAGGGGCGAAGGCTATATCCCAGCAGCGTACATACGAAAATATATGTAACGCCTGCTTCAAATCTAGTACAACACAACTCACTTGAGTTTCCTCATGTGGTCTCGTTGCTTTGTGTATGTTTCGTAGTTACCACCAAAGACACATTCTAGGATGCTGGGTCCGATGTTCTGTCCGGAGCGGGCGGCCTGCATGCGGTCTTCGAGGGTGAGGTACGCTTCTTTGAAGGCATCAAATGCAAGCTGAACCTTGTGGGATCCACCAGAGATGTTGTTTTCGGGACGGTTAGGATCCTGGATGGAAAGACCGTCGTACCTCTCTGGGCGGCCATCAATGCCATAGTGGGTCTGCGATTGTCAGCTGTATGAACTTAACCAAACTTGTTTAGTATCGACATGCGAATGCTTACCTTTTCAATGATCGCTGGTGGGTGCATCTGGATGCGTTTCCGGGCCAAATCAAAATCGCCGTAGTACCTTAGGAATCCTAGGAAACATTCTCCGAGATTGTCCGGTTTAGGAGAATGCTGAATATAGCTGACAATTAAGCAGATGATACTGTACCCTCCAATCCCGCCAGTATGAACTTCGTTCAGTCCATGCATAACAAGGAACTGCTTCATGAGTGCTACCATATATATCATGTCCGGATACTGTTGCTTCCACTGTGCGAATGTGGCTTGCGCTTGCACTCCGCTCAAATTCTCAAAAGAGATGTCAACTTGAAGCCCCGTGAGAGCGTCTTCAAACTTGATAATGGGAACACGTGCAGGAATGACCTGGGCATGGCCATTGGCTGCCAATTTGGTGTCTTTGAGCCTCCTAGCTGCCTTGTAAAGCAGGCTCTTGTTGGCGTTCCTCCCAGACATGTCCACGACGGCCTCCCCACCGTTGTAATGCCTATCGGAGACATATACTAGATCCATATCGGCTGTGGGCAAGTAGAGACCTGCAGGGAAGGAACCGAAACACAAGATGCGTCCGTTCTCTTGAGGAAACCTGCGTTGGCCCATGGCGCTGTTGACACGGTTGACCAGCCTATTACGCTGTTCGTGCTCGAAGGGCTTGGGCGCGACGAAGTCATAGAAGTCGAGAATCTCGTTGTGAAGCCTAGCATCGCGTTAGTACAAAGATCGCATTGTAAAGCCTAAAGGTTCTTGTGCAAAGTCCCAGGATCTAACTGGCAGAGCTTCGCAATGCCAGAAATCTAGCTGCAGGTATACAAAGAACTCACCACTTCTCGGGTTCGGTAGCAAGATGTGCGTAAGGGTCGCGTGAGGGCAGCCACGGCGTTGGATTGATGTTAGGGACGGGCAACCATTCATCTACTACGCCGCTCATGGTGACCTTGCGCTTGTTGTTCCTCGCAGGACGAGGTGCCCGATGTTCGGCTAGTGCAGCTTGTTGCCTATTAACGATGCTGTCAATGTGTGCAATTTCGCTCAAGGAGCCCTGAACAGTATCAGGATCATTGTCGTCATCATCATCACCAAACGAGATGAAGTCGTCGTTGGCAACAACTGAGTTGTGTCCAGCAGTCTTCTCTGCCTCTTCGTTCTTTGCTTTTCGAATCAACTTGACAAAGTCGGTTCTCTTGCCTGTAGTTTCATCGGGAGGCGGCAAGGCGGTGTACGGGTCAGGGTTGGACCACTTGGGAACAGAGTCGCCATCAGCACGCTTGGTTTGCGTCCGGGCTGCCTTGGGCTCCCGCGCACCACCTTCGCGATCTCCATCGGCAGAGTCGCCACTCTCTACTGACATATCTGCTTCTTCGTCATCAGACAGGTCGTCCGGGTTAAGAAACCGGTTAGGACCGTCTCCGACACCCAGTGCGCGCTCCGGACTACCCTCGTCTTGGTGCTTAAGAAGGGCGCGCTCATGAGGGGCAGCCTTCTTGAAACCGCCCCGACGATAGCCGTTTGCGTTGTTCCTGCCATCCGCACGAGACGAGCCTCGCGAGGCCCCACCACGGCCGCGCCTTCTTGATGACGCAGGGCCACGCGGTACGTTGGCGTCTCCAGCAGGCGGAAAGCGGGGGGCAGGATGGCTAGACTCAAAAGTGAATTGGGGCTGGTTGCCGTTGCGCGCGCCGCCTGGTCGATAGTTGTCGCGATCATTGCCAGTGAAGGTCATACGGTCTACAAGCGGTGGCGGGCGCCGCGCTGGGCGATATGAGTCTCCCATGTTGAGTCGCGTTTGCAGTGAGGTGGGGTTGTCGCGCGCAATGGATGAGTTGGTTTGTTGTGGGCGGATGATCGATAGCGGTGTGATGCGAATGAACCACGGTTCTTGGGCGCGAAAGATTTGTCGAAACAGAATGCGAGTAAGCCAAGACTCTAGCGCGGCCCGTGGGTTTGTGGGGTGAGCGCGACCCAACCCATGCTACACGGTCTGTAGACAGAGTCTCTTAACGGACTTGCCCAAAGTCAGTGAAATTACGAGAGTTTCAGTGGTACGCGGTAGTAACCTTGGGTTGATCGCTAGGACGTAGCTGCGTTGATAGTACAGTATAGGAACACTGGGGAAGAAAGAAAATACACAAGAGAGTGGAGAGACTGAAGCACGCTCATGCCTATCCGACCACACTCTCAACGTCGAAGCGCCATCGCTTACTGTACCCATAGAATATACAAGGCTCAAACGCTATGCCCAACGCCCCAAATGCAACATTATGTTCCTTCATCTTCCGAGTAACCTCATTCATCCTTTGTGAACTTTGGCTTGAACCCCTCTCTTAATTCCTTTTCTCTTTCCGCTACCCGTTGGTGTCCTTGCACCTCCCTCTCGATCCTCTCTCGCGCCCTCAATATTTTGCTCTGCAAGTAGAAACTTCCGCCCTTCTTCGGATCGTTCAGATCAAAAAGCCTCTTGAAACGCTCTGTGACAGCCTCTAGCTCGATGTTGCCCATCTTCCCGGGACCGACGTTGAGGATTTGGCAGGCCTCGTCCATGGTGATGTTGGAGGATGAAAAGGCGCCACCACTGCCTCCACCATTTTGACTGGCGGCTGCGTATTTCTGTGAAGCGGCGGCTTGACGATAGGATTCAGAGACGGCACGGCCTATTATTCGAGCGCCGGAGAAGACGACTTGTGTTATTATGCGATGGGCCTGTAGACGTTAGTCAAACATGGTGTGACAGAGATCAGGAACATACCATTGTGGGAAGAGATGAGTTACAGAGTGGATGCGCAATGTCCGCTTGCAATCAAAAGCTGTGTGTAAGTGGCTCCTGTCTATTGTGGGTGGGCGAGCGCTGTCGTCAATGAGGGCATGTCCAAAAATTCTGGGTCGCCTTCCGCGCTTTCGGCCTGCCCAGGTGCCTCCACAGCCGGCACGTGATGCCTGCAATGTCGACCAATCACATCACGATCGCAAACTGCCATGTCCGCAACCATCTCTGTGCGCTTGACCGTGGCTGTGGTTGTGCGGTACGGATGATGATGCAAGTAAGAGTAATGCGTCCCCAGTACGCGCTTTTCATTCGTGCTCTTGTGGAAATTGTCCCGGGATGGGCTGCCATGAGGCTTCCGCAAGTCGCCCTCGGACTAAGACATTCACATGCTCAAAGATCCCCCGCATCGTTTCCGGCGGCAGCATCATGTGCAGCCTTACATGACACTTTGTGACTTCTCTTGAGCTCCAAGTTTGCGTTTTTAGAAGCCGCCCTTCCAGTACATACACGGAGCGTGGCTGGACACGAGCACGGCACTCAGCCTCGTCTGCGCAGCCAGGCGATGACGCACATCTCCATGCATGGCAGCACTAGGTTGGTAACTTCCAAACCCGCAACAACGTTCGTGGAAACCCAGTTGCGCTGACAACATGCTGATATCCACCTAGATACACCCTGGATTGTGCACATGTCCACCCCTTCCAAGTCTAGCAACGATGCGTCGTCCCCGCAGCCGGCCGGTGATGCCCAGAATCCAACATACGCGTCCTTCTCCCCCGCCAACCTAGGCCAGACAACACCGCAAACAAAACTGCGATCCGCTATACTCGTACACCAGAAGTCTCCGCTGCTCGCCGCCACTCCGCCACAGATTACTCGCGTGCTCGCATATTCGCATCCCTTCATACTACCTCTGAACAAGTTTGCCGGCCTGGTAACATGGACAACCGGAGATCCATGGGAGAGCTTTCTTCTAGTCGCAACCTTTTGGGCCGTAGTCCTGTATGGTGATGCCGTGACAAGATACGCAGGGCCCATCATAGTCGTCTCTGGCCTGATACTGGGCATGTATACGCGCAGATACTCGCCATTGTCGTCGACGGGGTGGACAGGCGAGAAGGGACAGAAGGCGCACAAGCGGGTCGAGTCGGACACCAACATCAAGCACCACAAGAGCTTGGAGGAGATTGTGGATAGTCTGAAGCTCTTCACTTCACGCTGCAACATCCTGCTGGATCCCTTTCTGCGCCTCACAGACTTCCTGTCCACACAGAGGACGGCGACCTCGGCTACTACACGACCAGCTCTCACTGTGCTATTCATCCGCATTCTTTTTGTATTACCACTATGGATAGCACTCACTCTACCGCCCTTTTATATCCTGACTACAAAGCGAGTCGTGCTGGCAGTAGGCACAGTAATGCTAAGTTGGCACTCACGACCTGCTCGCGTAACTCGCACCTTACTTTGGAGGTCGAGGACAGTACGACGCACGTGCGCTTTTATCACCGGCCTCGACTTTGGCGACATTGTATCCGTAGACAGAAAGGGTGCGCCTCCTCTGCCCCCTCGAAAGAAGAGCACACAGGAGGTCGCAGCCTCACTGGCAGCTAAGCGCCGGCCCGAATCTACGGGTGTGCGCTTTACCTTTTCCATCTACGAGAACCAGCGAAGGTGGCTGGGTATTGGATGGACATCCTCTATGCTTGCTTACGAGCGAGCGTCCTGGACGGATGAGCACTTGAACCCTGTTCCACCAAAAGAACACTTTGAATTGCCTGAAGTTGAAGGAGGTCAGTCAAGATGGCGATGGGTGCAAGGCAGTGAATGGAAGGTCGAAGGCGCGGAGAAGGATTTCAAGGCCGAGAAAGGGGTGTCTAAAGAGGACTCGGCGTGGATATACTATGATAACAAGGTACGTTTAGGAAACTGTCCTCGCGTTTTTTTTTTGATACTAACTGGAATAGTGGAGAGATGGACGAAGAGGCCAAGACGGTTGGGGACGTTACACTCGGCGCCGGAAATGGTATCGCGACGCCGAGCTCGTCGAATCCACCTCGTCCACAGATACCACTCCTATGCCCACTCCTAAACCCGGTCCTATCGATACCTCCGGAGACCTTGACCCTAACCATCTCACAAAGCTCTCCTCAAATCTCAGTGTAGCATCCAGCACCGATCCTACTCTAGTCGAGGGTGACGGACGCGAGTATGCTGCGTCGATAGCTTCTGATACAGATGCAGCGAGTACAAAGAGCAAAAGGAGTTGGTTCAAGAAGAGACGAAGCAAGAGCACAAGCGGTAGTGTCAGCGGTACTACGGTCGTTAGCGACGCGGGTACAACTGGTACACGTAGAAGTGATGAAGACGATGTGCAAAGTCCTCTTGACCGCATGGCCAGGGATGAGGAGTGGAGGCTTGGTGATGACATTCGTCAACATCTTGATATTTGAGGTAGTGGGGCGCTGGAAGCACCCTTGACACTGTATATGTATTATTGCCTTCCTACCTGTATTGTTTGAGTCCTTTCTTCATTTTGGGGCTTTTGCACGCTAATACAAATGGTTTTTCCAATGGTTCTAATGCTCGTTCAGACATACAACACGGCGCAAAGGTCAATTCTTGTAGTAAATGTAGATTGATTTATAGTTATACCTCATCTGGTACTTCTGGCAGTCGCAACCCTAACATTGGCAGTTCACGCCGACCTCCAACCATACTATTGCTCCACGCCCAAATCGCTCCATGGGTGTGTTATTGTTGGAAGAGATACGAGATTCAGGGTAGTTTGACGCTTAGTGCTATATCCCGACGTTAGTGCCAATTTGAGTTGACAGGTAGAAACACTGCATCGATGCATCGTAGGATATACTTACGGAGCAGGATCCGCATCCGCAGCTGGAGCAGTCACCAGCGCACTTGCAGGTAGAGCAGTTGCTGTTTCAATCCGTTAGCCAGAGCCCCTCCATCTTCCAAGTAAAGTGTCCATCACGGTGCTGGCGCTAGCCCTGATGCAGCGACCTTGGAGCACACCAGTATGTGCCAAACACCAAAGATTGGTTGCAAGACGTACCAGGGAGCCATTTTAATGATGGTGATTGGTTGTTTGGTTGGTTTGGATGGTTAGATTGTGAAAGTGATGAGCGTGATGAGCCATCAAGGTGCTGAGGGCAAGACACTTATATAGACCGGCTGGTCGCCAGCTCGCGACGCCCGACAGGTTACTTACCCACGCGGTGGTGGATACCAAGCCCTTTGATCATGCGCGACTCTGGCCATGGTGGTGGGGTCAGATGAAGAGTGACATATCGACTTGCTACTACTTGCCTCCTGGCCCCCTCCCAGACCGTCTATCGCAACTCCGCATTTAAGCGTGCGCTACGCTCGTCGTCGACCATACAAAACAAAGGGGATAGAGGGAAGCAACACTTGGTTGGTGGAGCTTCACCGGCGAAGGGTGGCGTGGCTCACCACACTGGGTGTGTTGGATGCTGAGAGTTACCGCTTCAGGCGGCCTCTCGCACAATTCCCGCATCTACCGGTATACTTGATCGGGCCGGTTGCAAGGACGCTTTCTCACAGCGCCAGGCTGATACGAGCATCCATTGATGGTATTGGTCATGGCACTATCTGCCGCTGCAGCCGCATCACCATAGTGAGCTCCACTGTACCTTTGCTTCACTCCAAGTTGCGATCTGACCACTAACATGGAGAACAACCTCGGAACTCACTTTCTTACCATGTTCTAGCGTATGAGTTGACGTCCTGCACATGTAAGACATGCTGCAGATCGCTCACAGGACCCCTTGGCCTGGTGCCTTGGACCTTAGGGAACGGCACGGGTACGGCACCGTCAACGTGGGATAAGCTTAGTGACTTCTAATTGAGTGCTTACGTCTCAACCGTCTACTGGCTGCGTGGTAATCCGGTGGTTACACTGCATATTGCCCAGGTGTATTCCCCGCTCTTTGGCAGTGCCTGATGTGGAACTGCCAGCTTGCAGTACATACCCTCCCGAACCTTCGTTATAGTACACATAGCTCAAATCTTGAAACCCGAACTACATTTTCTGCCAGTAGAATCTTCGGCTCCTAAGTCTTATGAATGCAGTTGATGTGACGTACCAGCTACGAATCTAGATCTTACACTAAATTCAAGCGCGTGATCGGATGATGATGCATAGCGCTCAACCGAAAAGCCAATCGCGACGGTCCGTCACTCGAGCTATGATGCAGCTAGTGGGCAACACGTGGGGAGGAGCCTCGTAGTTTTCGTGGGGACATGCCTAGGTAACCCTGATAAAACGGCATGTGGTAAAGTACATCATGAGATGTATCGTCCACGTAAGTGAAGCAGCGTCTAAGCGAACAGATACTCACAGCAAGAGATCTAGTCCGGATATCTTTGACAGATAAGTGGATGGCGGTTACCGCGGTACCTAGGTACATGGCAAAATGTACACATAATATCCCCACACTTGAGCACACTGCTGCGCTACTAGTCCATAGAAGGCAGCCATCCTGTCCCAACATTTCAAGTGGATCGGTCATGTGTTACTGGTTGCCCTAGGTGCCTCTACTACAGTCTGTTATCTAGCGGAAGCGATGCACGTATGAATGAAACGATACTGTGGTAACGTTGAGTGCAAGTGCAGTTGAAGATCGACATTTAAAGACTCTCCTGAGGTGTAGCAGCTGCATCGCCCATAATTATTCGATACTTCGACAGAGACTTACTGTTGCATCAGACGACAAAATTTACATGTACAAGTGTAACGACAATTTGCATATACTCTGTTGACTCGTCCATCCCTTTCGCAGCATATGGATTGATTCACTTATCAGATAACAGGCCCACTACCCAATCTGCCACCTTGTGTCTCTCGGATATCAGAAGCTGTGTCGAAGCATTTCCTCTCAGCAGCGAGTGGATATTTCTCACCAACAAAAGTATCTACAAACGCTGTCGGACCCGTTTTGCATAGGGCAGCAACAGCAAGACGGCATGGCTCTAGCATCTTTAAAAAAAACTTATTCATAAGCTACTCAGCTTGTTCTTTTTATGTATCCGACTTGACCCCGCTTCCCCACGCATCCACTTCAGGCCCGGTACGGTTCTGCGGAGTAGATGTGATCTCCTCTAGTATTTTGGCAGTATCGAGAACGAGTTGGTCGTCTCCATACTGGCCAATGATTTGCAGTCCTATGGTATTGAAGAAAGGGTCGGGGGATCCTGAATTCTCTGACTTTTCCTCGTTATTGGGTGCGGCTGTCGGAAGCGTGATTGCTGGTAGTCCGGCAAGACTAGCTGGAACGGTGAAGACGTCGTTCATATAAGAGTGCAACGGGTCCTGTGTCTTGACTTCAGCCAATGATGGCGCCATTGATGGTGCCGTAGGGCATATAATCACGTCCACGCCCTTAGTCTTTGACAAAGAAACCTCGGAATCGAACAGTGGGTTTGGCAACGCAAACACTCGGTTAAAGTCTTGTTGTACAAGTCTGCGAACCTTTTGCGCTTGTATGAAATAGTTGTCCATGGCCTGAGCGCTGAGTGAGAAAGCACCAAGCAATATGCGTCGCTGAACTTCAGGACCGAAACCTTGACCTCGAGTCTTAGCAAAAAGGACACTGTCTGGTGTTCCATCGATGCCTGGTACTCTACTGCCGAAGCGTACTCCATCATACTTTGCAAGATTGCTAGATGCCTCGGCTGGTGCAAGGACGTAGTAAGCTGATAGCGCTTGCTGTGTTGTCGGCAGCCGGACAGGATGCAAAGTATGACCACGATCCCACAAGTGTCTGAGTCGAAGGAGCCAGGCTTTTCGGACAGCGGGTTCTAGTGTGTCAATGTTGTAATCGAGAGGGACGCCTATCCTCAGTGAAGTTGGTCGGCTTTCTGCACGGAACTTCGCACGGGTGGTATTGGAAACTGAAGTCGGGTCACGCGCGTCGTGAATGTTGAGCTTGTCTGTGTTTGGTCAGGAATATGAATCTGGCAGCTTGCAACTCGATCAACTCACCGAAAATGTGCTTCACACCCGCAACGTTCCTACCAAATATTCCAACAGTATCAAGAGAGTTGGCATAAGCAATCACCCCCCATCTCGATATCAATCCGTAGCTTGGCTTGAATCCAATGACACTCGTGTATGCAGCAGGAAGCCGTACCGAGCCTCCAGTATCGGTACCTAGTGCACTGATTGTCTCAGCACGTAGTCCATCCTCGTCGGCTATAAAACACTTACGCCCAACATTGCGAAGTCGCGACAACGAGCGCACTTCCACCTGAGCTTCCTCCAACACTTGTTTCTTCTCCGTCATATCTCTGCATCTTCACCGGTCCGAAATGCGAATGTGTCGAGTGCGATCCCATGCCGAATTCGTCCATGTTCGTCTTGCCAACCACCACGGCGCCCTCATCCTGGAGCAGCTTCACCACTGTCGCATCGTATGGGCTGGTAAAGTCTTTGAGGATTCCAGAGGAGGCAGTAGTTTTCAATTGCTTTGTGCAGATGTTGTCTTTTATCGCGATTGGCTTGTCGGTGACGCCGTAGGCGGTTTGTTCGCCGACAACATTCGATCTGGTGGCATCGTTGCGTGTGAGGACGGCCGGTTCGACGAACGAGTTGAACGCATTGAGGTGTTTATATTTCGAGTAATTCACCAAGTATGTCTTCGCATGCTTGGAGAGGGACATGGAGGGTGGAACGCATCACCGGCGCGTTGTCGCGAGTGGGATGTCGGAACTTACGAGCGGGACAAAAAGTCGTCGCGACGTCATGTGAGGGCGTGGACTGACTCGCACACTCAACATCACTTTACGATTCACAAGATACCAATGGACTGTAACAGGGTCTACCATGAAAACGACGATAGATCTATATCTTACAGCGTCTTATATGTAGAAAATCCGAACGCCTCGCTATGCAAATAATTTCCATGTCATGTCCCTACAAGAGCTCTGGAGAGCTTGCTGAGAACAGGTCCAGAAGCCTACTCGTCCATCTGCCATTGGTACTCCAGCTTCTCGATATTTGCTTTGCGGTTTCTCGAGTCAAACCACTGCTTCTCGAACCCATTTCCCCGATCGATGCCATCCCACCGATGCCCTGGACGGATGTTGTACCGGTTTGGTTGGAATGGTCCTTGGTACAGAGGCTTGCCCGTGATACTACGTCCAGCCTTCTTCTTGCGCAGAAAGCCTGAAGCAGGATCATTCCAGTGCCCCCGTTCTTTCAGCTCGTCGTTGAGTTCTGCATCATCTGCATACCGCGCAATAGTCATCGTCTTTGCATTCTGTAACTGTTGTTTCCTGCGCTCGGCCTCTGCGTTTTGTACATCTCCGCGAGCTGCCTTTTCCTTTTCACGCTTGATGCGCTCCTCTTCTTCGGCTTTCTTGCGCGCTTCTGCGCGCTTCATTGCGACGTTGATTATGCGACCACTGGCGTCTCGGTAAATGGTTTCTTGCGCGGCGCCCCCCAATTCCTTTGCGACCTCCTCGGCCTTGCGCTTGTCCTCGTCTTGTTTTCTCTTCGTTGCTGCCGCGACCTCAGCGGCGCTTTGCAGTCCTGCCTTTGCGCCAGACTCCATCCTCATGACGCCATCTGTGTCTACCATCTCTGGTGCTTCATCCTCGGCTTCAGCAGCTTTTTGGCGATCGGCAGCGGTCCCTGCTATAATGGCGTCGGCGGCAGCTGCATCGGCTGCGAGTTGTTCGGCATGGGAGGGTGCGGCGACACCCACTGCTGTCCATGTTGCGGCACTGGTGCCTTTGGACTTCTTCTTGGACTTTTTGAGTGTGCCTCCACCGACTATAGCGTAATCTGTTAGAGCCAAGTTTGTGCTACGTGCAGAGATTACAGTGCCCATACCTATCATCGGCGCATCCTCGTCGTCGTCGTCTGCCTTGTCTTTCCAGCCCAGACTGTCGTCGTCGTCAATGATGAGTCCGGCATCCTTGTTCTTCCTCTTGCGCTTCTTCGACTTCTTTTCCGAGTCTGCTGTGAGATAATTCTTGGCCAAATAATCGGCGAGTCCAGACATGTTCAAAGCGCGTTGGTCGAGTGTTGTTGCAAACGTTCACTCGCGAAGCTCGGTACGGAAAGTTGAGAGCTTGGCGCGCGCAGCTGTTCCGCATCACGTGCTCTCGTGTCGTCGCGTGCTGCAGGTGTAGATCCCGCTCGACTCTTTGCAGTTGTTCCCAGACACTTCTACAACTCGAATCACCATGGCACCGGGAGAGCGCTCAGAAGAAGTCTGGCTATGGTACACAGCAGTATACGAGGCGATTCAAGAGGTGCCTTCCGGCAAGGTCACTAGCTATGGTCATATTGCAAGACTAGTAGGAAAGCGTGCGTTGTATTACCAGATGACGAGGACTACTTGCTGACATGTTTCTCTTCATCGTAGCCGAATGTCCAAGGTAGTACATGGAAAAAGACGTTACCATCATGTCGCAATATCACTAACGCATGACGTCAAAGACAAGTCGGAGTGTGTCTCAAGAACCTGCCTTCGCCATCGACCGATAGCAGCAGGAAGAGTCCAACGTTCCATAGCCGCAACGTGCCTTGGCAGCGCGTGATCAACGCCAAAGGCGGCATCAGTCCGAGGTCAGCGCCTCCTGTTGCCATAACAAGGCTTTGTTGGCTGTTGTTCGATTGCTGACTGGAACAAAGAGGACCGAGCGCAGCGGCTCAGCAAGCAGATGCGCTGCGCAGGGAAGGGGTCGAGGTCAGCCAGGATGCCATGGGGCAGTATACAGTGGACCTTGGGAGATACGGCTGGTTTCCTGATGTCCTTCCCAGCGAGGCTGGCCTAGTCGAAAGTAGCGACGAGGAGGATGAGGAGGAGGCCGCGTACCATACATAGCTGAAGCATACGCCTGAGGATGCGCTGGGAATGGCTGTCTTGGTCAACCATGACAATTACGACAGGTTAACGTTCCAAGCTAGCAATGAGTGCACGGTCACGGCGGCCGAGTCCGGGATCTTATCAAGGCTGCGTGGTAAAGGGCGTCATGTAATAAGCTGCGATTGTTGGGATGCATGCCGTGACTGTTGCTGTCTGAGGTGTGGAGGATCCATGTGGGGTCGGCGATCGGAAGCTGGAGCACAGCTTGGGGCGCTTGAGAGCTTGAGAGCTTGAGAGCTGGGAGCTTCACGCATGTCCTTGGACACCAACCAGGAACACGGCAGCCTCCAGCTCGCCCACGTTGGCCACTCAAGCCGTCTGAAACCGCCATGATGGCATCATGGGCAACAGCGTCAAACCGGATGCGCTTCGGGCTAAAGCGGGAAATGGGCCTCGGCGAGTCGGAAGCTAGAAGCTGGGTCATGAGCTCCCACATCTCCCCTTATCAGGAACCACGACAAAGGCGGGGATGGTGCCTACGCCCTTGACGACATAGGGACGGCGCAAGTAAACAACTGCCTGGCCCGGACACGAGCCGTAATCCGTAATCTACCATAAGAGAGCCTGCATAGCCACTCGCCTCGCCCGATCAGACCTCATCATCCTGAGTCACTTCTTAGAGTCATTCATAAGACAGCTGCTAGTCATCCGCCGCGCCTCCCTCTTTCCCGCGCATATTACCTTGCCATACCTGTCGTGCCTGTCACTTCTCACTGTTTACTCTCTTCATCACACCTAATCTACCTGCTAGCTCCAATACACATTCTCCGTTTGCACCCTACCAGCCAGTCACAATATACATCAGAGCCTCAACCACCGAACCAAGCCGCAACACCGCCATGTCGACTTCCCAGACCTTCACGAGCGACCTCCGCAGCGATGCCAAGGAGTTCAACCGCGACAAGAACAACAGGGCGAAGTGGGCGCATGGACAGTCGTTCGGCCCTGGACGGCGGGAGGAAGACGGCAAGCCGCGTCCTGCTAAGCTGTACCCTCACGTCAAGTAAGTCGCCTCTCGACCCCGTCAAGAGGGATCATCGGAGAACTAACGTATGCAGGGCATCGTCCCACGGTCCCATGAAGGCGCGCGCCGCTTTCAACAAGGACATGGCTTCCGCTAGTGACGAGTCGTCCGCTGACGAGGACGTTGAGCACCCGTCCGCTGCACCTGCTCCAGATGCCGACATCGCCTACTCGTTCGACGCCCATCGGGGTCCCAGCCATGGCAGCCAGATCCTGAACCACGCTCTCGAGAAAGCCGTCCAGCGCTTTGAGACCAAGGAGACGGAGAAGCTGGTAAAGAATGAGTATGAGGTGCTTGACTTGTACGATGAGACGCCACGGCCCAAGCGACATGTGGCTCCTGAAGATGACGAGTACGAGTTTGTCGATGCATGATTGCGTCGATTACCCTCTTGGCCTGCCCTCGTTCCCCATCGATTCTTCTTCACATGTTTTGCATACACACAGCTTTCTGGCGTTCTTTGACATCTGATTTCAACTTGGCCGGTTCTCTCATCCTTGTTTACATTCGCATTATGGTCGTTGGCAGCATCAATAGGCGAGCGTCTGGCGCTTTTCTGAGGACTTGAGCAGCCATATACCCGTCTCGGCTTGCTTGCTTTTGGTTTGGGGTCGTAGCCTGTACCCCTTGTGTTCTGTGGGTTCCGCCCTGTAGCTGCACATACACACACAGTAGTCAATAATGATATCACTAGGAGCTACATGAATTCATGTTGTTCAAACCGATCTCGAGCGATGTTGAATGTGTGCTTGTCCAAGTTGGTGAAAGCGCGACGGCGCATACATGGGGTCTTGCTTGGCCAGCGGCTGATTAGCATACGTCATCGCCTATCAGAGACCAATGCGCGCCTCAGGTCTCACAATTCTAGAATCTCAACGCTTGCGACGGAGCCCACACAACTCCAGACTTGACACGCCCAACTGCAAGCTATCGCTGTAATTCTAGGTCCACACCATCAGGACACTAGACATCACTCATCTGCCCCTGCGCACGCGGCTTGCCACAAGCACAGCCCCCCTTTCGACTCTTTTATCGCCCGCGGCCTCGTTGATGGCGCGCGCCGCTTAGGGTGATCCGACCGACGTCCCCATCAACAGTCAACATGACAGTATCAGTCGACAACCCACCACCACAGGCCAAGACCAGCCGGCCACGATGGATGCTCCACGTCCAGGCACAGTTCTGGCGCGTCCTTATGGGCATCGGTATGATGCTACATCGTCTCGCCCGACCACGACCACCCAAGCCTGCCTTCCATAGAGACATCGATGCTACCGTCTCGCCCTTGAAAGGCAAATTTCGCCTCAATTTCTACGTGCCCAAGGAATACAAGAAGCATAAGAAGCTGAAGGGTACTAAGAGATACCCTGTTGTTATCAACTTCCACGGAGGCGGTTTCGTTCTGGGCACCGCGCACGACGATGCGCGCTGGTGTGGAGTCGTCGTCGACGAGGTCGGAGCCGTCGTCGTCAGCGTCGATTATCGTCTTGCACCAGAGAACCCGTTCCCTACGGCCGTCGAGGATGGTGCCGACGCGGTGCTCTGGCTGGCACAACATGCCGACGAATTGATGCTCGATGCCGATCGCTTCGCTATATCGGGCTTCTCCTCGGGAGGAAACATGAGCTTTACCGTTCCCCTGTGTCTGCAGGGCGAGCTCTTCGACCGAACTACGTCTGGCGCCAAGATCATCGATAACCGCGCCGGTAACGTTCCCAATGCTGGCCTCCAGCCTCCTCCCGCCTTCGGCCAGAACCTCACCCCCAACGGCTCTCGTGTTCCGCTCGTGCGCCAGAAGTCTCGCCTCGACCGTATTGCTATGCTCCGCCAGACAGGCGCGTCCTCGCTATCCCTCGTATCCTCCTACAAAGACACCTCGGGAGTGTCAGTCATGACAGAAGCGTCCAACACTGTTCTCAAGATAAGAGGCATAGTATCCTTCTATCCACCTACCGATTACACAAAAACGCGCGCGCAGCGTCGAGAGACCTGCTCAAGGGTTGACCAGAACCTTCCCGCTGTCTTTACCGATCTCTTCGATGATTCCTATCTCCAGCCACCCTCGCTCGATCTTGCACACCCATGGCTCAGCCCCGGCATGGCGCCAAAGCACATGCTCGACGCCCTTCCTGACGACATTGTCCTCTTCTGCTGTGAATGGGACATGCTTCTCGCTGAAGGTGAACGATTCCGTGACCGTCTACAAAAGGATCTCGGAAAGCGTGTACATTATCACTGTGTGCCTGGTGTACCGCATGGCTGGGACAAGGCCCCTAACCCTCTCAGGGAGAGCCCTGGTGCTCGACAGCAATATATGGTAGCGTGCAAGGAGCTGAAGCGTATGTTTGACATTGAGGACGATGAGGAAGACACTCATCAAAACTTGCCATGTAAGAAATATCATAAGAGCGTGGACTTGGGCAGGGCGGATCAGCAGGCGCAGGCTCGAGTGTAAGCTGTGACGTATGGTATTCAGTTTTTTGGTTATGAATTTTCAAATCTCACATCAGCGGCGTTTGATAGGTTTCTGACAGTGAGCGAATTTAGCATCTGTATGGATGCATGTCTTTTTTATAAACACGTCTTTGGTGCAGGGTTTGTTCCAAGTCTCTGAGTGCAGTATGACGTTGCTCTTCCGCGACATATTTGGACGCTTCACGTGTGTGTGTTGTCGCTATCTTTTTTAGGTACCAAAGCCATTCGTCTCACTCCGATATTCAGCAAATTAAGCAGAAACAACACTCCGTTATTATCACATCCTAAACATGGCTTTGACATTTCACTGAGTAACAAACAATAATCGCCATCCCTCTGTATAAGTACAAGTCGGTATCTCAGAACGCGCTAAACGAATGACTCTTGCTCAGACGGTTAAACAAACATTTCAACTAATACCCATGCTTTGCAAACTCCTTCTCGGTCCATTCCCATAGCTCATTCGAAAGTTTATCGTTCTTCAGTATCGCTTGCGTGTACTCCTTACCATTCCCCGTTGGGGTATAGAAAGCACCATTCTTAACCTGGTTCTTCGGTGCGGTACTGGACCACAACTGCATCTTCGCACCGTCGGGGACACTAGTCATAAAGGGGCCAGACAAGACGGAAAGCACCGCTCCTAGCACAGGCCTCCTTTCCTTGAAATGGTCCCAGATACCCGTGTTGACGACACCCGGATGTAGAGCGATTGATGTGATGTTGGGATATTTCTGGGAGCAAAGCTTGCTGAAGTAGTAGTTTGCTAGTTTTGATTGGCCATAGCGAGCTACGGTGCTTATTCCTTCAGCGGGTGTCGTAAGCGTGGGGAACGAGATTCCCTCTTTAGGTGCTTGTTTGAAGAGTTCAGAGCTGAGGTTGATGATGCGGACGTCGCTGTTTGGTTGCTCGGCGGTTTGCTGAAGCAGTGGAAGGAGAAGGTTGGTGAAAAGAGTTGGTCCCATGTAGTTGCTGCCGAATTGAACCTCGTAGCCATCGCTGGTTAGACTTGCAGGGTTGGCACTCGTTCCCGCGTTGTTCATAAGGATGTCGATTCGGTTGTTCTCGGACAGGATGCGATCGGCGGCTTGCTTGACGGACGCGAAAGATGCCATGTCCAGCTCAAGATAGTGCATCTTTCCCTTTGCTGAGGGGACTAGTTTCTCAATCTCCTCGATTGCTGCATTGCCTCGCTTGCTTGTTCGGGCTGCGAGATACACTTTATCTGGGTTGTGCTTGACGAGTTGGAGGACGCTCTCTTTGCCGAGACCACTGCTGCCGCCCGTCACGATAATTGTCTTTCCCGACAGATCGGGTATCTCTTTCTCGGGATTGAAATGCATGTTCAGGATGTTGTGGCCGATCGATATGATATTCGAGTGTACTGCAGCGTCTTATCTGGAGAAGAAAGAGGGAAAGAAAGGGATGCTTTGGTGGTAGCTAGTAAGTTGTGTGGAGTGGTGTATCATGAGGTCTAGTAAGATTCTTGAACAACAATGACTGAGTGGAAAGATTGGTTGTTGATAGGTACTGGTAGTTGAGTGGTATATTCAAGAGATGAACCTGAACGTGGTATTAACCTTATACATCTGCTTTGGAAGACGACAACAATAGACGCCGCTGTCAATACATCGCGGATCTCGTCCGAATATTGGCAATAGAATCTGAACTGAAGAGTCTGGTTGTTTCTAGGACCAGGAGTCACAAAAGAAGCCCGATTCGCGGTCTTGCTGGTCTGTTGTTAGACTTTCGGCAAGACTCGTGGCCGACCGGGCGAAGGTGTCCCCGCGATTCTTCTCTCCACACTCTTGATCGTCGTTCGCTATGTGTTTTATGGTCAGCATACAATCGAGGTATGCGGTTGCTAGAAGGCTCACTGGTACCTACCCTCCCATCAATTGAGGGGCGAGTTGTAACAACGCGTCAACTCAGCTATCAGACCAAGTTATGATCGAAACAACACCGAGTACTAAAGTTTTTCACATTACATGTTGCTTGGGCGTACCCCTCCCACAAGCCGCGAGATGCATGCAAACTTCGAAAAGATTACTGAACACATTCTCTTAGGGTCCTCTTCGGAGTCTCCGCCGTTCTCTCCCAATCCCGCACGGACGCTTTCTGAGCTTCTCGATTAGTGAACACCTTCGCCGACTCTGGACGATATGTTGATAAGTATTGCAGAACCTCGGTGATCAATCTAGCTATACGTAGGAAAATAGGTAGAACTAGTTTGGACGAATGGTCCACTTGTGCTACTACATTCTGAACAGCAAGCGTTCCGTTAACCTACTTTCCCGCACCACCTTACCCTACTCGAACAAACCGCAGACGTAGCGCCTGCGACACTCCTTGCAGAGTGCGACTATAACCACACGATACACAGCACAAAATCGGTATGAGAGGCTCGGGCGAAGCAAGGAAATGAGAAGAAACGAGCACGCGTGTTGCGCAGTACATAAGAAAGAAGAAAGCGACAAACAAGAAGAGCTGAATATGACCTCGAGTCCGTTCTGAGCTTCGCATATGCTGCCACACGATGTTCAGGATGACGAGAAGAGATATTGCTGATCAGGATATCAGGTTCGCGATGCCAGCCTGAGACGGATTTCTCCAAAGAAAAGGGTCGCTTCTCTCAACATTGGAAGGCTATCCAGGCTAGTATATTGGTCGCTAATATACCTCGCAGGATTTTGCATTTGACACGCGTCTTCGTGTGCACTCGAACATAGTGCGACGGCCAGCATCAAGTTGTGCTTGAGATGTTCGAGAACAGTCGTTCGATTAGTTGCATGGTAAGCTTGCGAAGCAGCGTATCGGCACGCTCCGCGAGCAGGCTGTGGGATTATGGCAAGCAAGATGCTTATACTCGCCTTCGGCATATCATCTGGATTGAGCATACACAGGTGGGATGCGTTTTGCATGTACGGCGAATTAGCCGCCTACACAACATCGCGTAAGTGCCTGAGGCCAGGCCATTAGGTCTCGTTTCAATCTTCCGTCGCGCGTATACATGCCTGCCTCTGATTAGGAAGGCGGCGAGACCTCGCGCGCAATCTCTGGGTATTTCCGAAACGTCGCGCCGTTCTCCATGGTGTGTTGGGGCCTCATTTCCCGTCGATCATAGGCGGGCGAGCACTTGCTGCTTCAGCGCAACCAAGTGCCGCCATACTTGCTGTTGTACTCGAGTCTCTCAGCTCTCGTATTGCAAGAATAGATCTGAGCTCTGTCGTCTCGTAGCACATTGAGTTGTGGGCAGCCTTGACTGCTTGACAATCTTACCACAGCCAGTGATGTCGGTCAGATCGTCTTGGCGGCGGATCGCGAAATTGCTCCTCGGCCCAGCGTCATCTTGAAACCAGGCTTGTGCTTATCCACAACTTCTTAGCCCTGCAGCATTTGTCGCTTGTTCCCCCGGCATCGTCACCCTGCAAAGACACTTACGAGGTAATCCTGTCAACGGCCATGGGTAATGTTGGCGCGACAAGCCGGGGAGCCAATCGAATTCGCCCGTCTCACATAATGTGCATTACCCTGACCCTGGTCTCGTGACGGGTTCTCGACGCTGCAATTTCTCTCAGACGCGCGAAAGTGGATTGATGATTGCCGCTGGTATGATGACAGCGAAGTGTGGAGGCGCCAGGTTCGTTTCCTGGCGGACCGGTGGTGATACTTGCGCAAATCCCGCTGTTCTTTGAGTCTCTTCTTCTTTCAACCTTCCCACGACTGTGTCGCGGCCTGTTCTATCTTTCTGGCTCAATAGAGCCGTCCATTCCTTTACGTCTGCGCTCATATCTTCTAGTCTTTCCTTCAACTCTCAATTTACTTTCCGATACTCTAACGAACTTGAAACCCAAGATGCCCGGGATGCTTACAAGGTCGAAATCGCTGAGGTTTCTGAGAAACAATCGCAGGGAGGCCACGGAGCAAGACAATGGGGACTCAATGCCGCCTGTTAAGGGTTCTCAAACAGACTTTGACAAATACAAGGGAACAACTTCTGATTCGAGGACTGAAGGAAGTCTAGGAGTTCCGGATACGGCAAAGCGACCAAGCACGTCAGGCGGACCTGGAGAGCGTCTACCCATGTTCCATAAGAAAACAAATCCTGTACCATCGATCTATTCTCAGGATCATATCCACTCCTTTCAATCGCCTACCACTTCCACAACTGTACTCTACAGCCCGGACGCCACGAAAGAGCAGGGAGTCATTGGAATCGCTCTTGGTTCGCCTACCTCAAGCTCACACTGGAAAGCGGCATCTCAGGTGGCGATATCGACAGTAGATCCCAAATTTCCCGATTCTTCAATGGCGATGTTAAGCCAACCCAACGATTCCTCGGTTTCCCTGGCCAGCCGTCCGGAAGCACCAAAATCTAAACTCAGTCGATGGAAGTCGTTATTCCGTAAAGCACCTCCGCCTCCAGTGGAAAAGCCCTCATTCTATCAGCTGGCGCAGACCGTTGCTGCAGCACCTCGAGCGGACAGCCACCATGATGACGAAGTACTCGAACCCCAGGCACCTCAGACATCTCAACCAGAGGAAAAGGAGAGGGAGAAACTGCGAAGTGTGTCCCCACCTACCTATCGACCCAACATCCGAGCATCACGCAAGTGGTCACCAGGGGAGTTTGTTCCGCCTCAATCGCCACCAGAGACGTCTGCGACCAGGGAACGGGCATTAACGCTCGGAAGTGTCCCATCACATGGACCTAAAAAGTCCATGCAACGAGCTTTTACAACACCAGATCTAGGAGCACGAGAAATTCTAGGCGACGCCCCCCCACCTGTGCCACAGGTTGAAGTGTCGAAAACAGGTCCCACCACGTCTGTAGACGACGGGGGGCCTCTTCTTGATGTCAGTCTTCCAGACATAACGATGGAGAGATACAGTGTTATGTTCGGAAATCTTTTGCAGTCAGACCCGAGCCGGTCATCGCTCTTGGCACGGCGACAAGGCAATGCTGAGAAGGTCAAGCCATTGCAGGAGCTGTCTGCAAAGGTGTGTACTCACAGCTTGAGCTACGTTAGATCTCAGCTAATAGCACAGCAGGGCAACGAAAACGACGAAAGTCCTGTAGATTACAGCCTTCACCGCAGTGTAACATCGCCCACTCCAGTGTCTGGTTCACCCCGACTCTCGCTGTTCCCTTCCACCAACTCAAACCGCGCACCATCACCTCTTTCCGGATCGATCATGAACCGCAGCAGGAAGGATCTCAAGCGATCTAAAACAATGCCTACGAAGTCTCCATTTCAGCAAACCTTCGCTCAAAATGCAGAGATTCCGACGGTACATACTGATTCTACAAAACTGAAGCCTGCCGCATCTCCGTACCTGAAGCCATCATTGACCCCTACCTCGATCCGCAGCTTCGAATCTGAGGCCGAATCAATCACGATTATAGTTGCTCAGGCATCACCTGGTCATTCCAAACCCATCAAGTTACGCCTCGACGAGCGAGAGCCCGAGTGGGAGATTTGCTCCAAGCCTGGCAAGACTGCGAGAAGCGAGAACCTTATGGTCAACAGTGTGGCAAATTCCCCACTCTCCCGCTCTCCTTCGCAGAAGCAGCCAAGAGTCACAAAACTCAGTGCGCTCTCATCACACCCGGCTTCAGCTCCCCTCGACGCACCTTCGCCTCTACAACGATTGCAAAGTTTGTCAACTCCACCACATTCGGCCAGCAGACTTGGTGAGAAGCGTGCAGAGATTCAAGCGAGAAGAAGGGAAGGAAGGACGGAAGAAGTCGCTACGGCAAAGGCCATGGTCGGCGTTGCGAGGAGTGTATCTGTCAGCAGAGCAAACAGCCCGAGAGCTGTGGTTCGTACCGTGACAAGTCCGCATGAGGATCGTGTTGTGGATCGATTGGCTCTGACCCCTACGATGGTGGAAGTCAGGAACCGAAAGAGCCAGAGAGTGCAACTTGAGGATGCTTAGACTTCTTGTCTTTCTTCGCTTCTAAAACTCTTCTTTAACCCCATTTTTTTCCCTATATCTGTCGACGTTGAATCGCGTTTCCAGCGATCAGGACTTGGTGTTCCTCTGGCGTTGCGCGCTGACACAGCTCGAGTTGCATATGCACTCGCCTGTCATTTTGATTCATGCGGCGTGTTTCTTGTAAGCGGGGGTCGTTCTGGTTGCATTCTCTAGGAGGTCCTTGGGCTTCCTTATGTGCATATATATAGGGATAGGAATGATCCAAAACGTACTGCTGGTCGGTTTGAAGGAGTTCGATGAGAAAGAATGGTGTTAGGCGGAAAATGGTATACCACTGAAAGGCCTCCAGGCTTCTGAATGATACTTTGTGACTTACACTAATGCGTTCATTGCTACTGCGTCGCTTACTGCAGCTTGTGAGCTCCAGGCTACTGCCTAAGGCTGTGCAATCGAAATCCGAATTCCTGGGATGCGACCGACAGGTGAACCCCACGAACGAGTTGCATGCCTTTGTCTGTAGATGGTTTTCATTTTTACAGAGATGGACTCCTTGTGGGTGTTTTCGGTGTCGACTGCACCAGGTTGAGAGACAAGCTTCGCTATACACAGATCATGGCGGCAACTTGTCTCGGACTCTCGGTAGGGCACATGGGCGGCGTGGTGGCTATGGCGCGAACGACCCCGCTCGCGATGTCCCGCGACTGCGCGACAGGCGAGAAGGCGCATTCTCATCTCCTGGTACCCTTCCATACCAAGCTTCAATAGGAATCGTCAAGCTCCAGCCTTTTGCCTCCGAGACTTGGAGCTCATGCGCAGCATTATGTTCGTTCTATACAAAGATGGCTTTTGTGCGACTACCAGGGGCGCGGGCTATCGTCCAGCTCCACCTCCTTGCTAGCGAACTTCAAGCCTCCCCCGATACGATAAGCAATCCTACTGGCAGCACAGTACATCTATCTGTACTAGTCAAAAGTGTGATTGCAAGAAAGCCACCGGCCAAGTCTTTCCCGCTTCGTGATACAGCATGCCATTCGCTTTCAGGTTAGACGACACCACATAGCCCGCCTGGCGCTACAGCCACAGTTCCTTTATTGGAGAGACGTCCCCAGATAGCACAATGAGCGCTGCACCTCGGTCAAGCAATACTGTCGCCTGCTGCTGGCTCACCAAGGGCTTAGCCTAATGTATACAGCGGTCGCATGCCATCCGTTCCGGCTCGAGTGAGGCTGAGTACCAATGGCATGGAATCCTCTTCAGCCTTCCAAGCAACTTCCCTCGTCGCTTTGCAATCATTTCACTTTATTCCAGCGTCAGTCTCTTTTCCCTAGACAGGATAATCCCACGCGACGGCTCGACACCTAGCTCTGCTTGCCCTCGCGCGGATCAAGCAAGGACCATAGAAGGCTTACCACCATACACGACTGGACGTCCTCTCAGGCTTAGTGAACCTGATCTTTGAGAGTCCACTGGGACCGCCGACTTGAGAACCGTTGGACCTTAGCTCTTTTTCATTCGACACATAGCAATACCAATCCAAGGCTACGCGCCAATGGTATTGATACGAGCTGGATGCGCTGTCTAGCCAATCCACAAAGTTCAGCGACTGTAGCAGCGAGAAACAAGCGTTTACAGGATGTCCGGTCTTGAGGTAAGTTGCTATCTTGCGTCCTCGACATCATTCTGGAGCTCTGTATATACCCTTCCTAGCTTCTGGACTGGGCACGCGACCTCTTGATGTTCACGAGGAACAGTCTCGCCTTCTGACTGTGACTTACTATTATCTAGATTGTCGCAGCTGTTTCTGCTGTCGTTTCAGCCTTCCACGGTGGATCAGAGCTGCTTAAACTTGTCAAGCAGAAACGCCGCGCTCGCAAAGCCCGCGATCAAGCTCAACAAGAATGGCAAGAAGAGCAACTGCAAGCTTCTTTATTGGCAGGGGAGCAACAGATTGACCTGAGATGGAAACAAGATCAGAGAGAGCTAGGCGACTATGTTCGCGTAGGAGATGGTGAGTGTAGTGATAGAAGTTCTCCCAGTAGATTTCAGAGCTGACGTGTGCGCACAGATACTGCTCGAGAGCGTCTCTACCATATAGGATTCATGCTACAGGCTCAGATCATCAATAGCTTACAGCAAGCTGCTACAAAGTAAGTAGTCTGACGACTCATATCAGCATAATGCTTACTTTTAATGTCCAGTGGGGTCTTACCTCTCAATTTACATGTCCTACACGAAGCCTCGATCACGAAACGGACAGAGACGTTAACAACATTCGACGAATTGAAGCAGAGGATATACATAGCAAGGCCTATGGTGCGGCAATTGTGGCCGCTTGGAGAAGATCATACGGGTGCATCCGCGCGGACCGCACAAGCGCATGATTACGGCAGGATCCACTCGTTATCGGACAATTATCCTACCGCAAGCTTCTTACCTCATATGGATCCTGGAGATACAGGATATACGTTGGCTGAATATTGCGGGAGCAAGACTACCAGAGATACGTCTAGCGGCTCTCGATTGGCCTACACGCCTGCACAAACTGCAGATCCGAACTTCAGTTTAGCTTTGGATGGACTTCGCCCTGGAGACCGTGCATCTATTCTGAGAGATATTCAACATATAATAAGCTCTTACCAAGGATTGGGTATTGAGAACGAACAAAGACCACTAGAAGGCCATGCGCATAGCGGAGGCCATCCTGCCCGACGCGATACCCTGACCATGCTCAATGACAGAGAATTCTATGACGAAGCAATGAAAGAGAAGGACCGAAGCATACCCCGACAACCCCATGGCCCGATACTCAACCAATCCTCACAGATAAACAATCAGTATCACCAGACGCAAACGCAAACGCAAACGCAAACGCTGCATCCTCGATGGTCAGATGCCTCTAGCTCAGCGCAGTCGAATGCGGCTTCTCTCGGTCGCAACAGCTCTAATTCATCGCAAGGTGACCATGTCCGCCCTCCAGTGCCAACATACGATCAACACGATGAGATCTATAAAAGCTCACCGTATACCTCTCCCTACGCAACTGCAGAAGACAGATATACACCCTCACCTATTGCACCACTGGCACCCTTACGTCCTCAAACCAATGCGCCATCGACTAGTTCTCCCAAGAATGACGTGAATGCACCAACACATATGCCCTGGCCTGGATCCCAGCAACACCGAGATTCTTCCCCTCCGCTGCAGTCTATGTCACCAGTACAATATAACCCAATACAGCCATACAGTGTGCCAATTGAGAAGGACGCCGTGAACATTAGTAAATCAACGCATCCTCAGTATTACGTGACGCCTCCAACAGAACGTGGTACATCTAGTTTACGCAGTAACAGCGATTGTCAAGCTACTGCGTACGTTCCCCCGACTGCAGCATCTCCTTCTTCGGTGCTAGGATCTACAGCTGTCTTCCACCCTCGACACGCTAGCATCACGCCCTCTATCGCTTCGACCGACAGTAGTAGCTCTGCCCCGATCGGTATCCTTCCAGGTCACCGTATGCGCAACAGCATCAGATCCGATACCATACAGGGCGGACCTGCAGGCGGAGAAAGAATGATGAACGGTCGTCCGAATAAGGATAACGATTACTGGGGGTTCTGTAAAGGTGCCTGGGCTGTAAGAGAGGACCCTAAGAAGGGCATCAGCGTTCGTACCCAGCCCTTGGGTTACTATAATACAAGACAAATCTGGGGCTGCAAGTCATGGTAGGTTGTGACTGTACGGAATGCATGTAAGACATACACTGACTTGGTACTTCTGCATCTGCAGCACCTTCACAGGCGACGTCTTTACTGCACCGCATCCCACCAAGAAGAACAAGACTGTCGAAATTGTCGATCCGCGAGTCAAGATCTCGATGTCCGGAATACGCTATCGATGGATATTTCTCGCTAAATCTCACGTCAAGAAGAAAGCATCAGACCCTACCTCGAACGACGACAACTTTGGCTGCGTACTTTGCCTGGCACAGGACAAGGTAACAGGGGTTTATGGCGGAGTGGAAACACTCATGAATCATATCGCGCTGACGCATGTGGCGGACATGAGCGAGCAGACAAGGAAGAAAGTCAACTGTATCTTGGGCAGAGTGGCAAAGTGTGATGAGGAGTTCGACATTAACATACCAATTTTTAAAGAGACGGAGCTTACCGGTTGAGCGAAGACAATCAGCCTTGAATCTTGGTGCAGAGGAGAGAACGGCGTCGCGGATCTGTTTCACAATACCCTTGCTTGATTGTGTTATAATGTAACCCGAAAGTATCAGCTGTGCCCTGTATTGATATATTATAGAAGCAAAACACTGCGAAGCCCTCTGGGGTACGATTTGGACAAAATACGTTGGCCCAAACAGCCTGATCGATATGGGTAGATAATGCATTGTCAGGTAAAACCGATGACACCGTCGATCTAGTCCTCCGACAACGACTTGCCTGGTCGCCAGTTCTTATACCGTTCTGCTTCCGCTGCAATGGTATGTGGAACATGCTGCTGTAGCGCCTGCTCAAAGTGCCGCATATGCACTTTTGCCTCACGGCTCGGATCCTCTGTATACTCTGTAATCGCCAACTCGATAGCAACAGCGCACAACCCACTGAGATCTGCTCCACTGCTCCCTTCAGTCCTCTTAGCAACAACATCTAGATCAATGTCTTCTGCGAGCGGCCTCTTTCGCGTGTGAATCTGCAGGATCTGCTTTCGCGCTTCCTCGGTTGGGAGGCCGATGTGAATATGCGCATCAAAACGGCCAGTACGGATGAGCGCCGAGTCGAGAATGTCAGGTCGGTTGGTAGCACCAATGATGAACACATCCTTCAGTGCTTCGATACCATCCATTTCGTTTAGTAGCGTTGTAACGACGTTCAGGCCGCTATCCTGCGTCTTCTCACGCGATTTACCGATGGAGTCGATTTCGTCGAAGAAGATGATGCAGGGTTTCGCTGCGCGCGCTCTGCGGAACACGTCGCGAATAGCTCGCTCAGATTCTCCAACGTACATCTTGATGAGTTCGGAGCCTTTCACTGCAAGAAAGTTTTGTTTGCTCTCTGTTGCGACAGCTTGCGCGATCAAAGTCTTTGCGCAACCAGGTGGACCGTATAGTAGGACACCTTTGCGAGACTGAGGTCCACCAAATTTGATGTCGAGGTCGGGATACTAGAAATATTGTTAATATTGTGAACAGATTGCAGATGTTGATGAAAGCACAGGACATCATATACAAGGCATTGCGACATGCGAGAATATACGTAGTTGGAACTCACCTTGAAAGGACGAATAGTGATGGCTTCAAGCACGGCGCGGACATGATCCAAACCTGCTATATCTGTCCATCTGACCTTTGGGACTTCAAGAATGCTGTCCTTCAATACCGTCGGTTGTACCTCACCAAATACAGCATCAAAGTCCTCTTGACGCACGTAGTCTGTCTGCTCAAGTTTCTCGTCAAATGTGGCTTTCTCCTCTTCGCTTATCGACTCGTCTATCTGCTGTTCTCGTTGGTCTCTTGCGAGAAGACATAAATCGTGAATGTCGCGCCCGACGAAGCCATGGGTGCGTTCTGCTAGCGCCGTGAAGTCAAGGTCACCAAGTCTGCTAGTAGTGCCCAAGATCTGTCGTAGGATATCTTCTCTCTGCTTAGCATTAGGTGGAAAGAGTTCGAGCTTTGTCTTAAAAGCTGACGGTGACCGAAGGCTAGTATCAATGTCGTATATGCTGCGTGCTGCTGCCGCGACAACTACTTGGTAGCCACCCAACTTTGCCAGCTCGGTTCGCAGTTTGTTCACAAGCGTATCAGCCTTGTCGAGGAACCTATCAAGATTGTCCATGAGGATCAAGCTCGGTTGGTTTTCACGAGCGTCCTCAAAAGCTTCGGATATTGCCTTTGCTTGTGCCTTTGGTTGCGTATCCGGATCTATGCGGTACACTTCCTGCCATGGGCATTCCGCTAGTCGCTCGAGCAGAAGACTTTTGCCAGTTCCCTCAGGGCCATGTAGTAGAAAAGAAGTAGGTCCACACAGGCGTAGGTCGCGTTGATGAGGCAGTGTTTTCGTGAGATAAGAGAGGCGTTTATTTATGGTAGCAAAGTGGCTAGAGAAGCCGCCAATCCCATCGAACCTTACTTGAAAGTTTTGTGTAGGAGCTCTCGGTGCTTGCTCAATGGGAACGCCACCAGTGGTGGTGACTTGAGTGATGAGCTCATCGAAATACACCGCGTGCTTTTCAGTCGGATGCGGGTCAATGTTTTGCACAGTGACGCGCATCTTGTGGCTCTTCTGCTTGAAGCTTTTCTGCTGGACTGGAAAGCTGCATCCTGGGAGAATAATGTCGGAGTCGACTGCTACGGGAAGGTTAGAACTGCTAGTCAGGGAGTACCCGTTGACCTACCTAAAGTATGTCGCAGCCAGTACAGAAGTTGTTCATTTGAGCTGAATCTGGCGATCTGATTTTGAGCATCCGCAAGATCGATCTCTATGGATTTGAGAGGCTTCCAGGAATCGACCTTTTCGATGAAAACAGGATCGTTGAGAGAAAGATTGTATTGCTCTCGCAGAAGGTCAGTCACCTTGGCGATTGGCTTGTTTCCAGGGTTTGTCTGAGAGGCTAGCCAAGCTACTCCGTGACCTTTGAAACCAGCAGCTGTACTTAGTCGAATGCAGTCACCGTTGACAAGTCCCAGCGCTTTTAATTCTTTTTGCGATAGATGCACACGGAAAGCGCCACCCTCGAGCGCATTGCCGGGTATACTAGGCGGATTACGCTCCAGCGGACGTAAAGTGTAGGACGTTGCTGGACTCATATTATCACTTCCTACTGCGGCGAAGGTAGGTGGTGAAAATCTCAGAGATGGTCTGGTGTATCGGCGTGACTCACGTCACGTGTGTGTGTGTGTGTGTGTGTGTGTGTGTGTATGTGTGTCTCTTACGCTCAAGCCTCTGAGCAGCAGGTGGACCGAATTCAGCTCCACCAGTGTCTCCTAGCGTAGCACTTTTAGAATCTTTGCATGCTGCCAACTGTGGTGGAGAGTATTGGGGTGACTAAGCGAACCGAGGCGCTAGGCCCGATGAACACACTAGCGCGGCCTTGTTCCGAAGCTTTTGAGTATTGGGCTCGTAAGAGGGCAGCTTGCGATGTAACGAAGCTGCACAATTGATGCCACCGCCGCGCCTTCCCGGACATCTTCGGCCATGTCATCCCTCAGGGACCGCGTACCAGGTCCGCTGCGCCCACAGGAGGACCTACGCACAATCCTCGACCGTCGGCGATGAGTCCCCGCAAACCACGACTACGAACAGCCACGATGGAGAGAGGAAAAGTTGGTGGACTTCAGCTTTGAGCAGAATTGCACCATGGGACTCTCAGACATCATCTGCCGAACCACGGCCAGATCCGCAACCGCAACCGCAAGATGCTCCTACCTCGTACTCAAGCGAAGCGAAAAAGGACCTGTCTGAAGAGCAAACCTCGGAAATTGGGGCTGGGCAGATCGCAAGGATAGTGGAATCGCTGGCGGAGCGTCAGCGAAGGATACTGCGTTCGGAAGCACGTACACACGGGAAACAGGCAGACAACACCGAGAGTCGAGATCAAGACTTCCTTCCAGTGAGGACGTCTAACACCCCTCCAGAGAAGTCATCAGGTCAACCAGTCGTTCTGAGAAAAGTGTCGTCTTTTCCCGACACTCACAACAAGTGTGAACATACACGGGAGCAGCAACCCATCATACAGAAAGTCCAACGGAGGCAACACCCAATAGCCATCAACGAGGAGGACATTGCTACAAGCCCTCAAATCAACGACATTGCGATCATACGACAGCAGATTCAAGGCTTGTTTGAGCAAGTCAAAGCCCTCGAAGCCGCTCTGGAAGCGAAGACCGCGGTGGATCGGCAACCATCTTCGACTCGCCAGGAAAATCACACTTCATCCACGGAGCATGCACCGTTGGAGGGAGATGAGCAGCAATCTGTGTCGATGCAGTCGCTATCAACGAAGAGACCATTGGCCATGGGTGGGGATTCCTCTCGTCATGCGCATACAGGGGCTCGTTCCTCAAGGTCTCGTTTTGATACTCTTCCGCATAGTCAACGAGCTTGGCGTCATTCAGTTGTCACATTAGGCAAGACCGCTACCCGGTTAGAGGCAATGCGTTCTCCTGCGGTAGCCCCTGTTGCCAGGCATGTTCGCAATCGCCTGCGTGTATTAGATGAAGTCGCAAAACTAGAGAATGATCTCAAGCTTAGGACTCTACTACGATCGTGCTACAGAAACTGGGACCTTGTTCACGCAGAAGGGGCTGAGCCTAATCGCGATCATACAGAAACCACGCTCAGGGCTCAGAGTAGCATCGTGTCAAACAACTTGGAGAAAAAGAGCGATAATGAGAGATTGACGCGTCGGCTTCATACACAGCCCCGTTCGATGAAGTCATCAAACCATATCAACACGACCACTGAGGATAGTATCCAAAAGAGCACGGTATTTCAGGAGACCTTGGGGACTTCGGACGAAGTACCGCCAGATTCAAGGCTGAGATTAGAGCGTTCTACAACTACTTCGGACGATGTGCCTTCCAAACCATCACCCAATACATCTGAATTGAGTGAGCACTCGCTTCTTGAGGAGCTCTTTCCGGAAACGAGTAGTACTTCACAACCTCAGTCTGAGCCAAGAGACCGGTACCCAAAGCTCCACCTCCCCGACTCAATGCCTGTCGTTCGTCGAGAAAACTCCAATCATACTCAGTCATTCAAAGAGCGAGTGGTTGAATCCTTGCATAAGCAAGGAGAGCATGTCACTGTTCTCCAGCTCACAAATTGCAGCACTGAGTTGACGGAAGCCGATTTCCGTCGGATCATTCCAAAGGGCAAGCACATTGAAGGTTGGCATCGAGACGATGACTTGTACAAGGTCGTACCTGGTCGCGACCCCTTGAGTCTGGAGCGCCTACCCTTTTACTACCTCCTCTTCAAGAGCGCAGAAGCAGCTCTTGCGTACCAGAAGAACGCTTCGCGGCTGCACAAATTGAGCGCCCTCCATCAGCCTGCGAATATCTTCTCCGCCATTCCGCCACCTAAGGGGTTCATTGAAGAAGGCGAAGACATCACGGCCGCCATCTCATCCTACAACCTCTTACCTACACGCCATCCCATGAGCTTGAACGTTTTGATGCAGCCCTACAACCCTGCCCTACGCAACTTGGTTGAGAGAGGCGGCTACCAACCCATCGCACCCTCGGTCGACGCAAAGGGAAATCCAATTTGGAGGGTACTCATGCATATTGAAGGTTACGAGCCTACACCCTCGGACCTTTTCAAGATCTTCTCTCGCGACGCGTACAAGCACGGCATGATTCTGCCTCTCCATAACGAATCACAAACGTCGGTCCATCGTCTCCGCGACATGATCAACCTTAAGGTGTCGTCCAAGGCTGTCTCGTCGAGCCGTCCGCGCGCATACGGCACGTTTGATCAGTCGAGTTCTGATTCAGAGATGACGTATGATGATCCGGCGATCCAGAGCATGCTAGGTGGTGTCGATGAAGATAGCCCGAGTCAGCAGAACCAACTGGTCATGAATCGCGTGTACAATCGATGGGTGCTGGATTTTGACGACGAGGATACTGCTCGGAGATGGAGTGTGCGTTGGCACCGTAGACTGCTGCCTGAACTGAGTCATACAAAGGGAGCGTGGAGAGACAGCGAAGAGGCTAGAATCTGCAACACTGAGCTCCTGTGGTGATGAAAATGTTGTACAATAGACTGTATATGTAATGATGAGTTTTGCTCCTAACCCAGCTCTCTGGCCGTCTGCGAAGTCGTTGGTGGTGGTAAGACCGGGTATCATAATGTCACATCTCCCGCGGCCGCAGTCAGGAAGGCCGGACTCCAGTATTCATTCTCGCCAGCTTGTGTGTCTACCCATACCAGACTGTCTGCCATGAGGTCTTCGACGACAGCATGGGCCCGAGGTCTCTCCCAGTTGAGATTCAGCTGCAGCATGGATACTGTGACGTAGCCGAGAACTTGTATGGCTTCGAGCACCGTGCTCTGGTCCGTGTTCAACTCCTTGGGCACGCTTCTTATCAAGCTTCTATGTCCGATCTTCATGATGGAGAAGCACGAACCAAGCGGAGCGAGCGAGTCTACGGCGCGCTTGATGTCGTCATCACTCACTTGCATGCTTCCACCGATGCGCTGTGATTTGGATATGCGTGCTTTGAGATCAGAGACGCTTATCAGCCCGCCGTTCTCCGATCTCGTGGCCCGACACTCCTCGACAATCAAGACGCCCAGGTTGAAGTAGAAGTCGTTCACACTCCCGCCCAGCAGCTGTGCCCAGATGCTCTCGCCGCCTCCCCCGCTCGCCTTGCCATCTTTGCTGTCGCGGTGATACGACGATGCGAGGAAGTCAATGTTCAGCGCCGAGCACATGCGCGCGAACTCGGCGCGGAAAGCGGGGTTGGCGCGGATGTCCTTGGAGTGTGTGACGGCGAAGTTGTGGACGAGGGATTGGAAGACGGAGAGTTGGGTAGAGAGCGAGTCTGCATTGCGGGTGCGGAGCGTGGCGCCATGAGACGTGTAGTGGTGATTCTGTAGACCACGTGAGGAGAGCGAGGAGAGCCCCGGAGCGCGGCGGCGGTCCATATTCGTTGTTGTTGTTGTCGTCGTTGTCGTCGTCGTCGTCGTCGTCGTTGTCTTGGTGCGCGTGTTGGTGCTTGGTAGCTCCGACGAATGCAACCAAAACGTCGGCGTGATGCAGGGTCGCTGCCTCTCGTCAAGGAACACCCATCAATCACACAGTTCCCTCCACCACAAGCGGAGTCGGGGGAGATCGTCATGCCGAGCCGAGCCTCATGCTAACTCAATGACGTATGGCGCTTTGCTCGGTGAGTTATCGGGCGCTCTTTTCCGGTACAGGGCATCAGATGGCCACACGTTACCTGATAGCTACTCATGCGACAACATAATCTTAAGCCCTGGGCGCGACGCCTGGACGCAAACTTCTTCTCTCCCTTCGCTTTCTCTTCGTCTGTACTTTGTTGACCCACGCCATTCATCGACTGGACCCTGGCCCAGAGCTAGGCTGCCGCGCTCACGTGTATTAATATTTTTGCGTCTTACCCTTTCTGGAATTTATGATACCCCATTTCTCAACTGCTCGAGTAGAGCTTTGCGAAAAACCTCTCCTCAAAATTCTACGACATTCCTGGTTCGAGGAAATCTTCCGCCCTAGCATGGACCCTTCGACAATCAACAATTGCGTACTACTGTTGAATCTGCCGCCAAAAGCACTTGCTGGCATCGACCTACTCTCCTTTACATCATCACCGCGTTTTCAGGGTGTCAAGAATGTTCCGCCTGGCCTGCATTTCGTCTTCACTGCAAGCGATAGCACCTTGTCTGTAAGACATGGCGCGTGGTTCTATGTCACACCTGGCGTAGGCTCGCCACAAGTATTCGTCAAGAAGTGGGATCAGAGTGCCGAAGACCTGGTAGCCGAGACTTCGCAGACAGAAGTGTTGCGATACAAGGCAAACCTTGGAAGCATATGGAAAGACGGCTTGACACCATATCGCCAAAGTGTACAGGAGGGTGATTCTGGAGCTGAAGAAGGCTGGTCCGAGGAGTCTACAGACTGGAGCAAGCTTACATCACAAGTCACACCCACCATGCTATCGAGGATATGCGGGCTGAACCCCGACCACTGGAACTTGACATCCGCGTCTTCTGCCACACAGGATCTGGATGACATACCGGGCCTAGAGACTAGCAATAGCATGCTACATGCAGAGAAAGAGCTTCGCTTCCTGCCCATCGATCTCAAAAAGACCTGGAGAGAGGGCGCGACTGGAAGGGAACGCACAGAAGCTGCACAGGATCGATCCTGGTTCCTCGGTGATCTTATCGACAACCATTGCCAGGCAGGGGACTTACGGGGTCGAGAAAACGAGATTTTGGGCGAGTTGCAGTTTACTTTCCTTATGGTTTTGACGCTCAACAACAACTCCTGTCTCGAACAATGGAAACGACTTCTGCGACTCTTACTCACTTGTCGCCAAGCAGTCAAACAGCGATCCCACCTGTTCCTCGACTTTTTGAAATGTCTAAGGACACAGCTTGGTCATTGTGCCGACATGGAGGGTGATTTGTTCGATATGAACGACGTAGGTGGGGGCTTCTTGAAGCCGCTCTTCGGTCAGTTCCGTAAAGCTCTCGATGACTTCGACGGAAAATGGAAAGCCGATTTGGTAGACGAACTAGACGATCTGCAGGATTATATGCAAAAAGAGTTTGGATGGCAACCAGAGGGCTCGTATCTAAAGCGCGGCATGTTGGAGTTGGAGGACGGCGAGCGGGTAGAGATGGAAGTCAACGGCGCAGATGCAGACGACGAGCTGGGCGACTATGCACCCACTATCGTAGACTTAACTCCTGAACAGCAAAAGCTGTTAAGCGGGAGCGATATCGGTCGCGCAGAGCATACAAATGGCGAAGAGTCAGAAGACGACGTCGATCTGGATGACATGGATACGCGATACTGATGCATTAAGTAGACCGTGCATGACCGGTGAGATGGAAAAAGACACCGCAAACACTCCGCGCACTCTATTTCGTCGAGCTTAGTGGACGCCAAAAGCGGCACATGGTCTCAAATATAGGCGCCTGCAGGAACAGCCAGCCGCCAAACGCTAGTACATACATTTCTTGTATTCACGTGCTGATCGCTGTTGCAGACTGCACAGCCTTACGCCTAATATCGAATATCATCATACTTCAATCAGGTGTCCATTCTCGAGGATTGAAGCGATGTGGCCAAGCAGACGTGGCGAGAAAACATGCCGATGCCCGTTGCGGCGCAGCTAGTCAGCAAGGCGTTTTAACACGACTTTGCACAGAGACGAAGGTGGTGTAGATTTGGCCCCCAAGCTCTAGCACACCACCAAACTGGTTCGGGAAATTGCAGCCTTGGCTCGCTTTTCCCTGGCGCGCTATTGACACCCTTCCATCGCCAACGTCGCCAACGCCCGTCAACCTATCCCGAATGCAGGCAGCTGAGGCTGAAGGCGTGCATGTAATCATGCTACGTGTAGGAGCTTGGGACTGCTCATTGGCCTCGTTCATCAGCTAGGAGCCTTACGCGGGGACAAGGGCGACTGATCTTCACGCGAAATGAGGGCTGTGCTCGCGACACCCGGCCTTGAGCCCCCTTGGCTATGGACCCAAGCGATGCGGAACGCCTTAATGCTTTGATAAAACCCACGACTATTCTTATATCTAGTGTACCGCTGTTCCAGCACTACTCGACAACTCTGGCTATTTTCTCACCACCGCAACACCGCGACCTAACAACCCACTGACTTTGACAATACAAACCTTCGCAATGGAGAAGCAAAATGGTAAGCAGTCGCCTTCCTTATGACATTGCGCTTCAGCTTCACACAATTCAATGCATTCGAGTGAACTTCCATGATTGTTTGGAACACCACGCCGCTCTCCAGTCTTTAATTCCCAAACCTCAAACACAATGGCTCTCTTGCTGACAGTTTTGAAGTACCTATGCAGCAATATCCTCAGTCACCAGACATGACCGGCCAACCACCTATCTATCATCAAGATCCAAACGCGCAACACTATCAACAGCAACCAGCCATGTACGCGCAACATCCTCAAGGCCAGCCTGCTGGCTCACCGCCACCCCAACACCCCCAAGGCGCATACATCCAGCCCGACCATACAGGCGCTCAGCCCGGCATGCCTCCCCAGCAACAAAGCGGAGCCGTCTACCAGAACGCAACACCAATTGCAAGCCTAAACCGCGGTCCTGCGCCTGCAGATTGTCCTGCGTGCGGACAACGCGCCATGACCAACGTCGCGTTTGAGACGGGAAACACCACACACGCCTGGGCTCTTGGTCTGTGCTGCCTCTGCTGCTTAGGGTGTATCCCCTACGTGATGAACTCGCTCAAGGACGTTCAGCACAAGTGTGGCCGCTGTGGTGTGCTGCTTGCGACTTGGCACCGCAGTGGAACCACTGAGGTACACATCCACTCTTAGGCAATGTGGGGGTTCGCACATAGTGGCATATACGCACAGTTGAGAGGGGAAGGAGTTTTGAGATATTTGAAGGCGGATGATACCCAGAGAGAGTAGAGACGTTAAAGCGGCTGGTTGAAGGGTTCGCCTATTGGCTTTCAGGGGCTTTTTGGGTTGAATGTAGTTTTCACACGTTGTGCGTCGCTGTCATACCCAGATTTTATTGTATCTGAAATTACACGTATTTTCCTGCGATGCTCCATAACGACTGCGTGAGACAGGCAGGTCTTGCAGCACAACTATTCAAGCAGCATTTGTACTTCGAGACGCGTCTCCGTTCTGCATCAGTCAGAACACCGCTAATACGTTTCGCATAGGTATAAATTAAAGCATTGTTAAATCATGGAAGAGTGGCCGTTCTAGACTTCAAACAACTGTACGATCTGACGTCACTCAAGATCATTTGCGGTCATCCACACTGAAAACCGAAACATGCAGGCTACGCAACACCATCGACGCAGCGCCACACATCGTGAAGAAATAAAGGACAATACGGCATCAAATGTGCCGTGTAGCCACTTATTACATCACTGCCACTTTATCAGCCACACAGAAGCCACCGCTAGCGTAATCAAGCTTTTGCTACGCGAACCAAGCTTTTGCCAGCTTCCAAGATTCCTTGTCTCAGGTCGCTTGATCGCGTTAAGATCTTCATTTCCTCCACATCACTATGCCGCCAACCGTTCAGATCGAGGATGAAAGCAGGGTTAGCAACAGGTTTGTGGCTGATAATTTACCAATGCGGCGGGAGAGGTGCGAGAAATGATGTCGTTTCGCAGGATACGTGAGCGTGTGACGGTGTGTCGTGGGAAGATTAGCTTTGGGGGCTGCCGACCTAGAATATAGGGGACGTATCGCAAGCCTTCCTGTCTAGTTTTCACAAGGCCCATCCTTATCTTCACTCACTTTGAATACTCGGTCGGTACGCTAAGTGTAGGGTACTGCTTGCTTTGCTGGCACGCTACGCGGTTTGCTGTCCCAGACTACTCTTTCCGGAGCAAACAATCACAACAAAGACAACAATACGTCATCAGCACGACGTATAGATACCTCACTCCAGCACCTCAGCAGAGCATCACGACAACCATACCCACCATTGACAAACATGGGTTTCTTTAACAAGCGCAACACGACGCCTGTCGCCGCAGACACTACAACGGCAACTGGTGCTCACGAGAAGCGGACTAGACCCAGGCGTTCATCCAAAGGCGGTTCATCGTCCTACAACAGCAGACCTGGATTTGGATCATGGCTCAAGGCTACCTGGCTCGATATCCTGACTATGGCTCTCATGGGCGCTGTCGGTCTTGGTGTTTACTTCGCTGACCCAGCACCAAGCCGCAGCTTCCCCATCATCTTCCAAGATGGTGAGATCGTCTATCCCCAGTTCGCTTACCCTATGCGTAACGAGATCGTTCCAATTTGGGCTGCTGCTCTGATGGCTTTCTTCATTCCCTTTGCTGTCTTCCTGATCGTTCAGATCCGCGCTCGCAGCTTCTGGGACATCAACAACGCAACCATCGGTCTGCTATACGCCTTGATCACCGCCGCCGTCTTTCAAGTCTTCGTCAAGTGGCTCATTGGTGGTCTGCGCCCTCACTTCCTTGCTGTCTGCAAGCCTGTCATCCCTGCCGAACTTCTCCCGACCGTTGGCACCAACGACAATGGCGTTGATGCTGGTAGCGCCTACGGTAACGTCGCAAATGGATACCGCCAGATCATGTTCGACCGCAGCATCTGCACAGGTGACAGGAAGGAGATCAACGACAGTCTCGAGTCCATGCCCTCTGGTCACACCACGGCTGCCTTTGCTGGATTTGTCTACCTGTATCTGTACCTCAACGCCAAGTTGAAGGTCTTCTCCAACCATCACCCAGCTATGTGGAAGCTCATCGCTCTTTACGCACCTATCCTAGGAGCCTGCTTGATCGGCGGCGCCCTGACCATCGACGAATACCACAATTGGGTAAGTCTTTACAGCTGTCGCTTCAGATATCAAGATCATTGCTAACAAATACCTAGTACGACATCCTTGCCGGAGCTGTCATTGGCACCTTCATGGCTTTCAGCGCCTACCGCATGACCTACGCCTCAGTCTGGGACTTTCGCTTCAACCATATCCCTCTTATGCGTCATGCTCCTTTCGTCTATGGCGCCGGCCCAAGCTCTTTCGATGGATTCCACGATACCGTATTCACTCGCAAGGCCGGATGGGGTACAATTGAGGGAACTAGCTGGGGTGGTGCGCCGTTCGATGCTGCAGATGGTCCTAGGGGTACCATGATGCCACACCCTGACGGCCCTGCGCATGGCCACCATGGCAGTGCCTCGAGCCGTGTTCAGAGGAAACCTGTCGGTGCTGACAGGCATGGTGAGCAGATGGTCTAAGTTGCAGCTTAGGCTGGTAGACATCTCAGATTTGTCAGCCTATAGCATAGGGCTACGTACCAACCGAGTGGTGTGAGGTGTAGTTGATATAATACTGGGAACAGAGCTTAAGTAGGGCCTTTACTGGAGATGCCAAGTTGGTAACTCCGATTTGACGATTATGATAGCGAGGCGTTAATGGTTTCTGGGAATACCACGATACTATAGTATAGAGTCAATTTTAATAATTACCTGTATCAACTACTGTGTATCCATCCATGCGTGAAGCCCTATTTTGCCGAAACGCATCGGAATCTTTCCGAGTTGATTCCGAACACATGCCCGCGCGTGTCGAGCCATGGCGCGCCATTCAAGAAGATCGCACACAGGTATGCGTTGGCAAGTCAACGCCAATCTAAGCTTGTGATTTAAAACCCGTAATTCCTAGTCGACTTTGTTTGCTATGGCATTGGGAACAAGCCTTCCTTTCTGGCCAGCCTTGGTATTTACTTACCTAGAGCCCAGTAAGCCCAGTCTCTCTTTCTTCTCGAACGCTGTGCGCCAGCACCTAGACGTGTCCCACGGGACCATGAATACCTTCTCTACCAATTGAAAGCCCTCCAGAGCTAACAATGTATAGTGTCGGAGCTCCTAGGCGCCTATGCCGCCTTTACAGATCCCATCTCTTTCACGGAGCATCAGCTCCCCGTTTCCCTCTCCCCAACGCCTCCGCCTCCTACTGCCATACTTCTCGCCTACTCCCTTGGCAGCCTCTTCTTGATGCTAGCCGCCTTGAACATTCTCTGCACATCCATCACACGCGATGTACGCACCACACGATATTACCTGATGATACTGGCATGCGGGGATATGGGTCACATGTGGGCGAACTACGTAGGCATGGGCAGCGAGGTGTTTTGGAATTTTGATAGCTATAACGAGGTTATGATGGGGAATGTGGCAATTACAGTCGTGCTTTGGATAATGAGAGTCTTGACGCTGAGTGGGGCGTTTGGGCGTATAGGCAGGTAGCTGAAGGGGACCAGGGTAGGTTGAGCGAAACTATATTGTGGAAGGTCTA